TATATATATATATATATATATATGCATCTGTACAATGCCTGTGGAGGACAGAAGTGGGCATCAGATCCCCTGGAACTGGAGTTGCATGGTCAGTTGTTAGCTACCATGTTGGTGCTGGGATTTGAACCCAAGTCCTCTTCAAGAGCAGATAGTGCTCTTAACCACTGAGCAAGTCTCCCCAGCTCCTCAAATATATTTTTTAGCATTCACTTATTTATTTTATATATGTGGAGGCAGAACAGGGGGTGGTGTACATGCCATGGTGCACATGTGGAAATTAGGGGCAACTTGCAGGAATCAGTTTTCCCCTTCTACCATGTAGGTCCTAGGGATCAAACTTAGGTCATAAGACTTGGCGTCAAGTACCTTTACCTGCTGAGCCATCATGCCAGAGCCAATCCAAAGATTTCTAGAAATTTATAGAATTGTATAATCATTAACACAATCCAATTTTAGAACATTTTCATCACCCCCAAAAGGTTCCCTGTACCCTTTTTATGGTCATTCCCCATTTCTACCCCTAGCCTTAAGCAAGAAGTCTTGTTTTGGATACTCCTTATCATTCTAATCATGGAATACACAATCTTTTGTATCTGGCTTCTTTCACTGAGCATGGTTTGAGCTGTCTCTGTTTTAACCAGTACCAGCACCTTGATCCTTCTTTAGAGTGGAATCATACCCCAGTGTATAGATGAAGCACATCTTGCCCGTCATTCACTTGTCTGTGGCCATTTGAGTTCTTTCCACTCTTCGTCTGATAAGTAATGTTGCTGTGAATATCTATAGACAAGTGTTTGTGGAGACACTTCTTTGTTTCTCTTGGATAGATACAGAGCCTAGTGGTATAGTAAATCTCTGGGAAACTGCTAAGCTGCTTTCCAATGGACTGTACTCCCGAGCTCACTCCCACCAGCATTGCATGAGCATCACGGGACTTCTCCGCATCCTTGCAACCCTTCCCACCTGCCATGATTACAGAGCAGCCAAGAATGGCTTATTCAGGTTGTGGCAGGGAGTGGTGGGGTCAGGGTTTGGACCAAGTTACCTGACCCAGCAGTCAGTCCTCCATCTTTTGGTTTAATGCATGCGCTCGCAAAAAGTGTGGTTGGAGATTGAAGCTGATGGTGGGTCTGCTGGGCTGGGGTTGCAGGATGTGGAATAGGGCTTAGAGAAGTGGGAAGACAGACCAAAAGGGGCCCTGCAGTCCTTGGCTCACAGCTCCAACCAAAGCCACTGGGCCCCAGCAATAGCAAGAACTGGACCTAGAAGGGCAGGTGGATGCCAGCCAGCTTGGTCTGGCTTCTGCCAATACAGATTGATAGGTAAGATCTCTCTAGAGCCCTCCCCTGGCCCAGCCTGCAGTTCCTGGCCCTGCCTTGTTCATCACTTCATATACCCTTGACTTGGCCTGGACATGCCTTCCTGTCCCAACCCCAGGAAATTTACCTCTTTCTGCCAAGTTCAAAATCTCCATATGCAGCCCAAAAGTGTTCCTAAGAAGGACAAGAGCATCTAGTCCATCTGTATGGCTCAGGCAAGGATCAGTGACAAGGCACCCTGTTGGTACCAGCTCTGAGACAGGACCTCTTAGTACATGGGCTATGAGACTAGCACTATGAGGAGTCAGCCTCTATAGGGAAACAAACAGCTGATGGGGTGAGTCTAGCCAGTAGGCAGCAGTGCATTCTCAGGGGCCCTGGCCAGCCCACCCTTTATCCCCCATCAGGATCATCTTTCTAGAATGATCACCCTTGTCCCAAGGAAAGGAGGCCTGGCTAGATATGGTGGCATATGCCTGTAATCCTAGTACTTGGAAGGCTGAGGCAGGAAGATTGCAACTTTGAGGCCAGCCAGCACAAGACCCTGTCTGATAAAAACAAATACAAAACCACCATCCAAACTTCTTTGGAAACCAGAAAATGGACAGTGCACTTATTGAGCACTGAGTCTCTTTTATACACACTATTTCTTCCAATCTTCATAGCTACCCTGATGACAAATGCTCACCTTCCCTCTGAGGAGGCAGATTCAGGGGTTTACTGTTTGCCCCAAATCCCACATTCTAAGTGGCCTGGGCTCTATTCCCACCTACCACTCACAGTGAGCTGCCTGACCTTCAAAGGCTGAATGATACCCAGGCAATGTCCCAACTGTGGGTTGAGACACCAGGCACATCTGAATTCAAGTCACTATGCTACTTCCTTAGTATGTGACCTTGGGCAAGGGAGTGAGCCTGTCTGAGCTGTAGCTGCCCTTCTGAGCCATGCGTCCTGTCTCAGCCCGCATCATGGAAAGAGAATGAGAGGGTCCAGGCACAGGAGAGTGTACAGGCTGCAGTCAGTTTTCCATACCGAAGGTGCTGCGGGCTAGAGGTTTTCAGTCTGCTAGAGGTTTTCTGCCTCCTGGTTTTCAGTCCCCTCAGGCTCTCTTTGAAGCCTTGACTTTCTGTCCCACTGGATCTGTCCCCACTGCTACCAGAGGACTGGGAAAGTCTGAGCCCAGAAATTATTCTACTCTTCTGAGGCAGCTTATACTCCACCCCCACCCACCACCAACTTTGGCAGGCAAATTCCAACTGGGATAAAAGCAGAGAAAGGCTCAGAAGCCTCCAGCTCTGGGGCCTCCAGCTCTCCTCCAGCTGTTTCCTCTCCTCTTCCCTGTTTCATCCCTAAGCTGTATTCATTCTCTAAGGTCAAGCCCAACTGCTTCCTCCAAGCAGACTTCCAGCTTACCCCAACCCTGGCTTGTCTGCCAGCTTCCAAGGCCTGTGCTGAAGGTGTCAGCAGCAGGCATGAAGACTGCCTAGACAGAACTGGATCCCCTGCAGACAACCCAGGTGGGCTTGACCAGGTTGTTGTCTTCTGCCCCCTTGCAGAGGAGTCACTGTGGACCACTAGGGCGGATGGGAGGGTCCGCCTGCGCCTGGAACCCTTCTGCACACAGCATCCCTATACTGTGCACCAGATGTTCTACGAGGCTCTGGATAAGTACGGGAACCTCAGTGCTCTGGGCTTCAAGCACCAGGATAAGTGGGAGCACATCTCTTATTACCAGTACTACCTGATTGCCCGCAAAGTTGCCAAAGGCTTCCTGAAGGTAGGTCCCTACTACCATACATACACCTTTTGGGCTCTTCTGGACCTGCTTTTCAGCCTGGTCCCTCAGAGACAGGCCTTCTCCCAACTCCTACCATCACTGTAAAGCCAACCGCCATTGATTGAGGCCATACTATGTGCTGGGCCCTGTGCTAAGGATTTTACATTTATGGAGCCCATACCACCAGCTAAGCACATGATAGGTGCTTTTCATCCACTTTCACATTCAAAGAGGGTTGGGAAGCCTAGTGGGTTGAGCTCCAGAAGGCCATAGGAGGGTCAGCAAGGGCTGTCAGACACTGATTCCCCAGGGGGTTTTCTGGTGGGGTTGATTCTAAGATGGGCCTGGAGGATTCTCTGCTGTCTGCAAGGAGGGTGGGAGTGTGGGGGAGAGTGCCCCACCCCGCCTTGCCTAGCTGACCTGTCTGTCTACCTTTGGTCTGGAGCTTGGCCTGGAGCCAGCCCACAGCGTTGCCATCCTCGGCTTCAACTCCCCAAAGTGGTTCTTCTCTGCAGTGGGCACGGTGTTTGCAGGGTGAGTGGCTGAGTAGGGGTGGGGTCTCCTGTGGGCTGATGGTGGGTAAAAAGTATGGAAAGGGTTGATTTTGTTGTAGAACCCTCTGCCACTCCCCAACATCCCATGTCTCCCCTGGGACCTTCTAGGCCTGTTTTTGCCCTTCCCTGCCTGCAGAGCTGACTGAGAACCCCAGCTCAGGGCCTGCAGAGCACCCCGGGGATGGGGACTGTGAGGGTGTGGGGAGTGGATGGTCCTCTGCATCTGATAGGAATCTTCCTGGGCCTCCTACAGTGGCATCGTCACCGGCATCTATACCACTAGCTCCCCAGAGGCCTGCCAGTACATCGCCCATGACTGCCGTGCCAACATCATCGTGGTCGACACACAGAAGCAGCTGGAAAAGATCCTGAAGGTTAAGGGGGAGGGACAGGGGCCATCGGGTTAGAGGCTGGACCTCTGTTCTAGTGTAGAAAGGATGCTTCTATATTCCCATTCAGAGTTCCTCTCATATACCACAGCCTGCAATACGTGTGCAACACACATGTACACACATATGTTGAGCAAGATAGAGAAAGCTGAAAGACCCAGATCATCAAAGGAATGGGCAATGCAGGGGCAGGGGGTGCGGGTAGAGAGATATCTCAGTCAATAAAGTGCATGTTCTGCAAGCATGAGGACCTGAGTTTGGTTCCATTCCCAGAACCCATGTAAATAAAACTGTCTGTGGCAGCATGAGTTTGTAATCCCAGGTGGAGACAAGCAGACCCCCTAGGGCTCATGGCTAAACAGCTGGTCAGACAGAGAGAGAGAGAGAGAGAGAGAGAGAGAGAGGTAATAGCACCTTTTACCCATACCCCTTGTCAATCCATTGTCTCCCCTGGCAAGAACTTTACGAATTGAGCCACCATCTCCCCAACCTCCAGATCAGAGCTTTGATACCATGTACACATGTACACTCAAACTCAAGTGGGAGTGGGCGAGGCTGCCATGGTGGGGGGAGGGCAGAGCCATGTCAGTGCACAAGCCGCAAGGTCTTCCACAGGCAGTGGGGCTGCAGTGGGAGCCCAAAAGTGACTTTCTGGAGCACTGGCAATACCTCCTAATTCATTTAAGGCCTGTCCCAGATTGGTCCTGCCCCATATGCCCTTGTGTGGAGGGCAGTGGCACCCCTGTGCCTGGCTGTACTCACAGGCCCTCCAGGTCTCTCAGCTTTCCAGAAGCAGCCTGTAAGATAAAACTGTTGGCTTGGCTTGCACCCTGGAGATGTCACCTGGGCCTCAGCCACTCATCTGTTCCTGGGGATCAAGTGGTCAACCATGAGACCTGGGCCTCCATATTCCCTCATCTCTAGTGGAGAATCCTATTCAGGTCTGAAAGAAAGAAACAAGCTGAGGCTGTTGTTCTCACTGAGCTGTGGAAGTCTTCTCTGAGGCAAGCCTAGGGTGTGGGCTAGACCCCAGGGAGGAGTCTGTAGAGGGAGGCCCCTCTAGGTTTAACATAGCTCCCTCTGGTGAGGCTGTGAATAGCCCTAAGAACTGCAGCTTGAAGCAAAATGCTAAGGCCCCTGGGAAGACTCTAGAGTCCTGCTTAGAATGTGTGGCAGATAAGACTGAGAAATGTTCCTCCCTGAGAGGGGTTAGAAGGAAATACAGAGCTGGCAGCTGCCTCCCTGTAGCCCCAAGAGCTAGGAAGGTTGTGGGATGGGAACTGAGGGACACCCCAGTCCCCAAAAAGGTCTGAGCAAGGACATGGCTCAGCAACCTAGGAGTCAGTTCCTCAGACACAGGGCTAGCCTGGTGAGGTGTGACTCATACAAGTTCTCTTGAAATTGGCAGTAAGGTAGAAAGGAGCATTTACTTGCATCTTGTACTTGGCTATCATCCTGTGCTGAGTTCTGTCCCCTGGGGATTGCTGTAGTCTAAGCCATATGAGCATAGCTTCTTTTATACTAATTTAGAGTAATTTTGAAAACCTTCCATTTTGGGGCTCTTTGGCCTGCTTCTCCTTTACTGTGAAGGATTTCTGTAGCATCTCCCTTTTCCAGTGGGAGATTATCCTGTCTCTTTCTGGGGCCCTTTCCTGAGCTTTGCTTTCAGGATGTCCTGAGCATCTCCATTCTGTCTGACCTGGATAAATGCCTAAGATTGGAAGAAGACAGCTAAGTGTGGATGGTGTGGGGAATGCTATAAAACAAGTAGGCTAGCTATCCTCAGGCACCCTTCTCCCCTCCCATAAGCTCTTGTCTGAGGGTCAAGTGGTCAGCCTTCCAGAACTATGGGACCTGGATGTCCAGAGAGGCCATGGCAGTGCCAGCTCTCATCTCTACTGGGTTACTCATCAGGGCTACCCATTACTGGCTGGTCAAAGCACTCAGGGACTTAGTGTGGTCCAGAAGTACTCAGAGAGTGGCCTCAGATGCACCTAGGTCATTGGATCATTTCCTTACTTATCACAGCCTAGCCCAAAGCAGAGCCAGGCTCCCCTAGGCCCACTTTGACCTGAGGCCTTGATGGTTTGTTTGTTTGTTTGTTTGTTTGTTTGTTGAGACAGGGTCTCACTTTGTAGTCCTGACTGTCCTGGAACTCACTGTGTAGACCTGGCTGGCCTCAGATTCACAGAGATCCACCTGCCTCTGCCCTCTGCTAGGATTAAATGTTAGATCGTTGGAAAATAGGAAAGATAGAGGAGTAGGAGACAAGAAACCAGAGCCAGACCTGCAACAGGCAAGGAATATATCTTCCTTTATTCAAAGAAGATACAGTGAGAGGTAGAGGCTGTCGCAGGAACCAAGCATGTACAACTAAACAAAGAAACCAGGGCGGGGGGGGGGTTATACCGGCATTGTGGGACACAACTACACTTAGTGGGAAGTCGAGTTAGTGCCTGGGCTTAAAGGTCTCCTTCTCAAGATTATTTACCCAGGAACTGGCAGGAATGTTATCTAGGGCCTTAGAGGAGACAGGTGGGCTCCACAAACATTTCCTCTCAGGCTTGGGAGTGACCAACTGATCAGGGATGAGCAGAGCCAGGTCTTTAATCTATAGCTGTTAGGTCACTGGGGAAACTTTGTACTTTTACAATTTAGAGCCTTCCAGCCACTCTGATGGCTTTTATGCCTTTATGGTTTCCTTTAATGAAGCTTGTGGTTTTTCTGGGGTTCACTTATTCTATCATTAAAGGCATGGGTCACCACACCCAAAGAAAGCCTTGGTGGTTTAAGAACCTACCTGCCTGGTCTGGGGAGATGGCTCAGTCCATAAAGTGCCATACAAGCATGAGGACCTGAGTTCGGATCCTTAGCACCCATGTAATAAGCCAAGCATTGTATCAAGAGCCTGTGATTTAGAGTGTTGTGGGAATGGAGATAGGTGGATCCTTAAAGCTCATTGACAGCTGGTCTAGTCAAACTGGTGAGCTTTGGATTCCCAAAGACGCGTCATCTCAAAAAATAAAAGTGGGGCGTGATTGAGGAAAGACATACACGTGTACATGCTCATAGACACACACACATGCACACATATACACACACAACTTGGCAAGTACTGAACCCAATGGTATGCCCTCTCCTCGGCCCTCTCAGGGAACCACACATTCTTTAACATTCACCCTCGTATCTGGATCCCATGTGGGGAAGGCCTAGATCCTGGGTAAGGAGAGCTGGAGGGCTTAAAATTCTTCCACACTCCTCAGAGAGACAAAACACCCCCACTTTAAACTGAAGAAACTGGATTCTAGAACCAGGGCCTCAGTGAAATGACTGCCTTAGATTTGAAACACAATTTATATTATAAAACTTTTCCAATGGGGGCTAGAGAGATGGCTAGGCAGTTAAAGCACTGGCTGCTCTTGTAGAAGACCCAGGTTGAGTTCCCAGCACCCACATGGCAGCTAACAACCATCCAAAAACTCTAGTTTCAGAGCATCCAACACCCTTTTCTGGCCTCTGAAGGCACTACATGCACGAATGTACTTACATATGTGTTACATATACATATAACATAAAGATAAATAAATCACAAGTTTTTTAAACTACTTGGATAAAAATAGAGAAGAATCCCATATCTCATGAGATTTAATACTTGTCAGTGAGCTCTTACCACTCCTGCTTCTTTATCTTTTTGCTATATTTTAAAAGGCAAATAAATCTGACATCATATTATTTCATTCCCCAGATCCTTCATTATGTATCCTTAAAAGATGCAAAATATTTTTTATATAATCATTGTTAGCAAGGGCTGGAGATGTAGCTCAGTTGGTCAAATGCTTGCAGGAAGCCTTGGTTCAACCCCTAGCATCATGTAAACTGAGCATGGTGGTGTGCGTCCCAGTGCACAGGAGGTGGAAACAGAAGGATTAGAAGTTCAAGATCATGCCGAGCGTGGTGGTACACACCTTTAGTCCCAGCACTTGGGAGGCAGAGGCAGGCGGATCTCTGTGAGTTCAAGGCTAGCCTGGTCTACATAGTGAATTCCAGGTCAGCTGGGGCTACAGGGAGACCTTGTCTTAAAAATGCCAAAAAAAAAAAAGGTTCAAGATCATGCACTCACGCTATAGAAAGTTAGAGACCAGCCAATACATGAGATCCTATCTCAAAACAGAACAAAATATAGAGGGTTGCCAGGATGGTTTAGCAGGTGAAGACATTTGCTGCCAAGCCTGCCCACCTGAGTTCTCCCAAACCCACATAGTGGAAGGAAAGTACCAATTTTGGCAAGCTGTTCTATACACACACACACACCACACACACACACGATAGGGGGGCATGTCATGTGCACACATACACAGACATGCACATATAGACAGCTATAAATAAATAAATGTAACTTTAAAAAGAATCCAATGGCCTCAGAGGTACATTAAATTAAAACAAATATATAAACAAAATTTAGAATAAAGTCTTGCCTTTTGTTTCCCATACCACAGAGCAATGTGGGCCCTCCCTGGGAGCTTACTAGAAATGCACATTTTGAGAAACTCGAGGTGTCCCTGGCCCCCACAGCCTGGGCTAACAGCAGTTGAGTGGTGCTGATGCCTGCTGAAGGGTGAGAACCTCTGCTACAGACATGCTAGAGAAACTAGGTCAGCTGTCTTGTGCAAGGTTTGAGATGTGTATGACTGCTTCCTCTCCCAGGGCTGTCTGCCTGTCTGCAGTTTAACTTGTTCCACTGGCCTCTGTTTCCTGTTGATCTGAAGGCTGGATGCATTTTGGATAAGACTTTTATTGGCAAGCACACCCAATTAGGTGGTACTGTGTACTTCATCTTGTGCATGATGTCTAGTCTGCCACATTTTGAGATGCTGAGACTCAACTGGACCCAGGTAGTGACTACCTGCTCTTTCCTTGGGAACATTCCTAGTAATCCACTGGTTCTCTTGGACTGAATTAGTTCTTTTTCTAGAAGTGAATGTTGATTCATTAATTTATCCACTAGAATTTTCCCTTAGAACTTAACCTTGTAACCTGCGATTCTTTGGAATCTGAAATGCCAGGACGGGTGGAGTAGATAAGCAAACTTGGGCAAGTGTTCCATATACGGTTTGAAAGAGTGTATATTCTGAACTTACTGGGTCGAATCTTCTATAAACGCTAATTCTGTCCAGTTGGTTGGCTATCACTATGGATTTTCTCTCTGCTTGTTCTATCAAATACTGAGAAAGAGCTAGGAGTATAGCTCAGTGGTAGAACAAGCACTCAGCATATATGAGGCCCTGCGTTCGATGCCAGCACACACATACAGAGAGAGAGAGAGAGAGAGAGAGAGAGAGAGAGAGAGAGAGCGCCAAAAAAGGAATGCTGAAATCTCTAATTATTATTATAGGTCTATTTTTCTTCTCAGTTGTATTCGTTTTTGCTTCATGTACTTTATAATATTTATAAATATTTAGATTGTCACTTCCTGAATGAATTAGCCCTTTATCATTAAGAAATGCCCCTCCAGGGTTGGAGAGATGGCTCAGTGGTTAAAAGCCCTGGCTGCACTTGCACAGGACCTGGGTTCAGTTCCCAGCACTCACATGACAGTTAACTATCCATAATTCCAGCTCCAGGAGATCTGACATCTTCTCTGATCTCTGTGAGCATTGCATGTATGTGGTATACTTATATACATGCAGGCAAAAATGCTCATATACAAAATTACTCATATAAAGTAAAAATAAATTAAAAACTTTACTACTTTGACAGATTTTAATCATATAAATGTTTAATTTCTTTATATTGTCTTAGAGATCATTTTTTCTTCACTGAATTTCATTTTGAGGCTTGTGTTTTAGACTTTTTAGGGCAGGTCTAGATAGTCTTTGTCTGAAGCTAATTTAGTGTCCAACAGACACGGCCCTCTGAGTCTCTGCTTCATGCCCTGCAAGGTACCTCACGGGAGGCCTGTGTCTTCTAGCACGGCCCTTGCTCTCCTTCTGGTTTCATGAGCTTTCACCCTATGCCTGTCTGGATGGATCCTCAGCCAGTGAGTCAATGAGCCCTAAGAGGATGTCTGGAAGTCTTCCTCCATGTAGTCTCTCCTCTCAGATATTCTGACCCATTCATCAGCACTGCCCTGACTGTTCTGACTCACCTCTTTCTCACGTCAGCTCAGTAAGAACTACATCCTGTATTCTCTCGCTTCCTCTCTTTCCCCCTTCCTCTCTCCATCTTTCTCTCTCTCCCACTTTTTACTCTCTCTTCCCCATCTTCCTCACTCACCAAAAAAAATTTTTTTTAATTTTATAAATAGATTTTTTTTTTTATCTTTTTGAAACAGGGTCTCCCTGTAGCCCCAGCTGGCCTGGAACTCTCTATGTAGACCAGGCTGGCCTCGAACTCACAGACATCCGCCTGCTTCTGCCTCCTGAGTGCTGGGATTAAAGGCATGCGCCACCACGGCTGGCCTATAAATAGATTTTTAAAAAAGAAAAATAAATAAACGTTTCAAGGGAATGACTCAGTCAATAAAGTGCTTGCTGTTCAGTATGAGGACTTGAGTAGAATCCCCCCAAATCCACATAAAAGCAGGACATGGCACTATGAACACACAGGCACAAAGACTGAAAATGAAGTCTAGAATTCCTGCTTTCTCTTTCTGGAAGAAAGAAGAATTAAAATGTGTTGGTATAAAATCTCTTGAAAAGCCCAGTATGGTGGCCTATGCTTTCAATCTCTGTGCTTGGGAGACAGAGACAGGCACATGGATCTCTGTGAATTCAAGGCCAGCCTGCTCTACATAGTGAATTCCAGACCTACATAGTGAGACCTTCTCTCGATATTTAAATATATATACATAAATATATATATATATCCTTTGATGTAATTGTGCATGTATGTGTGTGTGCACATGTGTGCATGTGTGTGTGTGTGTGTGATTATGTCACCAACTTGACCTGTAGTCTTCCTTTGTATTTGCTTGGGGGATTTTTCTGGGGTTTGTTTGTTTCATTTTGTTTGGATTGGGGTATCATTACATAGCCCAGGCTGGCTTTGGGCTCCTGCTGCCTCAGCTTCCCCAGTGCGGAGATTTCAGCTTCCCCAGTGCGGAGATTTCAGCTTCCCCAGTGCGGAGATTTCAGCTTCCCCAGTGCGGAGATTTCAGCTTCCCCAGTGCGGAGATTTCAGCTTGCCTGTGCCGCCACACTTGGCTGTTGTCTTCACTTCTTTCAGATTGTTCTCAAGTGCCAGCAAATCATCTTTTCTCTTTTTCATATCTATTTATTTGTTAAATAAATGATGTTATACTCCAAGACTTTCTGCCACCCACTTCCTCTTTCTGCCCATAGATACTCAATGTGATGAGTTTTTGGTTTAAACTTCCAGAGTTCCTTGTGACAAATATGAACAAATGCCTGCTTGCTTTATCCATATCCATATCCATATCCATATATTAACATGTATCCCTTTCTCCTGTAAAGATAACATGTGATATGCATGCTATAAGCATGTTTTTTGTTGCTTAGTAATATATCCTAGGAACCACTCTATTTTGGCATTTAGAGTGCTCCCTAGCTCACTTGCTCGCTCTCTCTCTCTCTCTCTCTCTCTCTCTCTTCTGTCCCTCTGTCACCTGCACTAACCTAATGCTCTATTGTACTGCTGGATCATTATTTAATCAGGCCCCAGGTCCCCATCATCACTACATCCATAGTAGAAACCTATGGACAAAGGGTGGCAATTGTCCCACTGGGGTCAAAGGTCAGAAATGGGAGACACAGAAACCTTTGCCACAGACTAACACAGGCAGATGGGGTTCTTTTCAAGATGTGACCATCTCTTGCTGAAACCCAATTTGTGTTCCCATCAATGCAGATATGGAAAGACTTGCCACATCTGAAGGCAGTGGTAATATTCCAAGAACCCCCTCCAGAGAAGATGGCCAATGTGTACACGGTATGAAGAGTGGACCCTGGGCGATAGGTGGGGCTGTCTATGTCCACCCAGCTGACCTAGACTGGCTACTCTACCCCACCTGGCCACAGATGGAAGAACTCATGGAACTGGGGCATGAAATACCTGAGAAGACTCTGGATGCCATCATTGAGGCCCAGCAGCCCAACCAGTGCTGCGTGCTGGTCTACACATCAGGCACCACTGGGAACCCCAAGGGCGTGATGCTGAGTCAAGATAATGTAGGACAGATGCCTAGATGGGTGGGGCGGGCTGGAGGTGGATCTAGATTGGGGTCCTGCTTCAACAGCCCCTGAGGAAGTCCCTCTGACCAGTTAGCTTAAGGAGCTGGGATAAGCAGGAGAGACCACCCATTTGTGGTCCAGACTGAGCCCAACAGAGGGGAGAGGGAGGAGAACAGAGGGGAGGCATGTCCCTAGGGGTTTTCAGGGCCAGTAGAAAGGCCTAAGAGGGCACCTACTCTAGGAATCGCCAAAAAAGTAGCACAAGTCCCAAGATGGCCTCAGTTGTAAGCACTGCCAGGACTAGCTGTGGACACTTCTGGGGCCCATCTTCTTTCCCCTCAGATCACGTGGACAGCACGGCATGGCAGCCAGGCTGGGGACATCCAGCCAGCTGAAGTTCAGCAGGAGGTAGTGGTCAGCTATCTGCCCCTCAGCCACATTGCAGCCCAGATCTATGACCTGTGGACAGGCATCCAGTGGGGGGCCCAAGTCTGCTTTGCAGATCCCGATGCTCTAAAGGTCAGTCTGCCTTCCTGCCAAGTGAGTGTCCAGTGTATGCGCAAGAGCATACACAGGTGCATGCTCACATCTGTGGGCCCTATGTGTGCATACCTGGGCTGCTGGCTCCCCATGCATTTGTCAGTCAGAATTTTCTCAGCAGCTGATGGAACAGCCTGACTCAAAAGACCAAATAAATAGGGAAACATGATATTGTATAAGTTGTGTTAAACTAGTTCCTCAGGTCTAAAGCACAATCAAGCTGGGGCTTCTTCAGAGGATCACCACAAGATGGTCACAGGGTATTCACGGCTTCCTGCACTCCGGTCTCAGAAACTATACCTATTCTTTGCGTCTTTCTTTTGACCATAAAGAAAAGTTCCCAGAAACCCCCTCACAGGCTTTCCTGACTCATCATCTCAGTGACCTGAGCCATGTCAAATGTCTATTCCTAAAGCAAACACTCCTGAGGAAGTGGGATTAGCATGTGTTTGTTTGACTGGTGGTGGTGGTGGTGGTGGTGGTGTGATTGTGTGTGTGTGTGTGTGTGTGTGTGTGTGTGTGTGTGTGTGTGTGTGTGTGATGCATGTGAGTGCCCTCTGAGCCCAGAAGAGGGCATCAGATCCCTGGGAGCCAGAGTTATAGGAAATTGTGAGCCAGCTGTGGATTCTGGGTCTTGAACTTGGATCTTCAGGAAGAGCAACAAGCAGTCTTAACTGCTGAGCATCTCTGCAGTCATTCTTTTACTGAACCTGGAGATCTCTGTTTTGGCTAAACTGGCCAGCCATTGAGCCCCTGGGATCTATCCCCCACCGACCCTGGGGTTACAGGCACATGAACTGTGTCTGTCTTTTAACGTGAGTGTTGAGCTCAGATTCTCATGCTTTCATGAAAGGCAGTTCACTAACTGAGCCATCTTCTGGGCCCTTTGTTTTAGTTTTAATTAATTTTCTGTTACTCTGTGTGTGTGTGTGTGTGTGTGTGTGTGTGTGTGCGTGTGTGTGTGTGTGTGTGTGTGTATGTATCCATCACAAGTGGTGTGGAGGGCAGATCACAACTTGCAGAAGTCAACTGTGTCTTTCCACCATGTTGGTTCTGAGAATGAAACTCTTGTCATCAGGCTCAGCAGTAGGCAACTTCACTCGGAGCCATCCCAGAGGTCTTATTTTTGTTCTTGTTGTTATTGTTATTTTTGTTATACTTTGTCTCACTACTTAGTTCAGGCTGGCTTTGGACTTGCTATGTGCCCAACCTGGGCCTTGAACTCATCATCCTCCTTTCTCAACCTCCCAAGTGCTCAAATTACAAGCCTCCACCACTACCCCTGGTCGAATGAGGTTATTGTGTTTGAGTTAGACAAATGAGGAAACCAATGTACTTCTCAAGCATCAGACCACAATGGTCAGCAAATGACACCAAAGTTCTGTTAGCAAATAGTGGGAGTACAGCTGTTGAGCCACGGCCAGCAATATGTACCACAGTATGTACAAGTATGTGTGCCTCTGCAGGAGCATCTGCATGCATTATCTATGCTGTGAGACCTATGTCTACAGGCCCTGCAAGACCTCTGCTTCTCTCTGGCCTTGAGCAGGGGAGCCTGGTGAACACACTTCGGGAGGTGGAGCCCACATCCCACATGGGGGTACCTCGTGTGTGGGAGAAGATCATGGAGCGGATCCAGGAGGTGGCAGCTCAGTCTGGCTTCATCCGGCGCAAGATGCTGCTGTGGGCCATGTCAGTGACCTTGGAGCAGAACCTCACCTGCCCTAGCAAGTAAGATGGAGGGCAGGGGACCAGAGAGGCAGCAGGGCTGGCTCACAGCACAGTAACAACCAAGGATTTCACAGGCTGTCCTGGTTCCAGAGGACTTGTTTGAGGATCCCCCTGTGCATCAGTCAGTGACAAGGTTTACACGTCAACTGACCCTGCGGGGACAGTTGGCACCTTTGGGCTCTGGCTAGGAGGACTGTCTTGCTTCTGAAGAATTTACTCCCTAGGGGGAGATAGTCCTTACCAGTCTCCCTGCCATCTCCTGCACTCAGTAGGTAACTACAGAAGCGGCTGCAGTGACTCAGCTCAACCACTCTAGTTTCCCAGCAGCCTATGTGACTACTCACATCTCTCCCACACCCCTTATGATTGCTTATTTTTCTCACTACTATTCGTTTAGGTTTTTGAGATAAGAGTCTCAGTATGTAGCTCAGGCTAGCCTAAACTGTGCAATTTTCCTTCCTCAGCCCTCCAAGTGTTGGGATTACAGGTGTGTACCATTATTCCTGGATCTTGATTACTTTTTAAAGTCCTACCCGATGTTGCTTGTGCAGCCATAGTAGAAATCTGGCCTCATCTCAACATACAAATACTTTTGGCTTGAGGATCTAGCTCAGTGTTAGAATGCTTACTTAACAAGCACAAAGCCCTGGGTTTAGGTCCCAATACAGGAAAGAGAGAGGGATGGGGAGGGATGGAGGGAGAAGAGTTTCCATCGTAAGTGCATCTATGAAATAGTGTCAGTTTCGTGAGAAATGCGGATACAATCCGTGAGCTACAGCTTCATTTACACACACTAGAGGTGAATATGCAGGGGCTGGAAAGATGGCTCGGTGGTTAAGAGCACTGCCTGCTCTTACAGAGGACCCAGGTACTCAGCACTCACGTGGTAGCTAGCAACTGTAACTCCAGTTTCAGGGGCTCCTATGCCCTCCTCTGGCCACCATGGGCATTGCATCATGTGGGTGCTATTGCAAGCAGGCAAAACACTTATACACATAAATTTTTATTTTTTAAAAATTAAAGGTGACTATGTAGCAGGGGCTGGTGTAGGTCTGTAATCCAGCACTCAGGAGTCTGAGGCAGGAGAATCAAGAGTTCAAGGCCTGAGTAAATTAGTGAGACTGTCTCAAAAGGAAAATATTTTAAAATTTTAAAAAAAGGGGCCATAGCTATAACTCAGTATGGAGTGCTTACCTAGCATGTGCAACACCCTGGGTTTCATCCACAGAACTTCAAAGGAAAGAAGGAAGGAAGGGAGGGAGGAAAGGAGGGAGAGAGGGAGGGAAAAGATCATGAACAAAGCATTTGTGATCTTTAAATAGGATCATACAATGCATATATGTGTCCACATATATACACATCATATCTTTGCACATGTATACCATCATGTATGCAAACGAATGCCTCTGTGTTGTCACCTATGAATCTATGTATAACTGAGTTTGTCTAAATTCCTGATATATTTGCATGTAATCAGGGGCACTCCTTCCTATATTTGCATGTATGTTGTATACAAGGCCAATATTCAAAATATTTAACAAAGGGTTCATCATTGACACCAATTCATTAAAACAGAAAACCTGAATAGCTGTGCCAGTATGTGCCCACAGAATGTGGACTCCTTTGTATAAGTGTATTCCTTTCTTCCACCGATCATTTTTCCTTCCCCCCACAGTGACTTGAAGCCCTTCATGGGTAGACTGGCAGATTACCTGGTACTAGCCAGGGTCCGTCAGGCTCTGGGCTTTGCCAAGTGTCAGAAGAATTTCTACGGGGCTGCCCCCTTGACTGCAGAGACACAGCGCTTCTTCCTGGGCCTCAACATCCGCTTGTATGCAGGCTATGGCCTCAGTGAGACCACAGGCCCCCACTTCATGTCCAGCCCCTACAACTACCGGCTGTATAGGTGAGACCTGAGGCTGGGACACATCACATGCCCAGATGTCCTTACTGACACCCTTCAGGACCCACCTGCTGAGTGCCCTGGGGACCTGCTCCTCTTTCTCCTCTTGTTCCTCCTTCCACACTGGAGGCCTGGCCCGGGGCTGCCAAACCCCAAGTGTCAACAGTGCCATACTCAAGGAAACCCCTTGCTTGTCCTCTGCCATCCAGAGGGTGAGTGCCACCACCATGATATGTGGTCTGTGGCTAAGGACAGCTTAGCTACCCACACCCACATGAACAGTACTCCCTGGTGGAGGAACGTCCTTCTTCCTTTTCCTCCAGTGGGGTGCAGTGTGCTAGATTGTGTCCCAGGAGAGATGACAGACAGGCTTCCATTGGGGTTGGATTGAGGGACAGGAAGGACAGTCAGTTCTGGCAAGTGATTTAAGAGGTGGTCTGTTGTGCTTTGGCACCTCCATCCATGTCTGGTATGACAGGACTCCAAGTTCTACTGATAGCATTTTGGTCATTCATTCATTTATTCATTCAGTGAAAACCCTTTATATGGCCCTACACCTTTAAACTCCTTAATAAAACACAACGCTGGGTTGGGAAGATGGCTTGGTTGGTAAAGTGTTTGCCACACAAGCATGAGAACCCAAGCAAAAAGTCAGATATGAGGCAGAGGTAGGTAGATCTCCGTGAGTTTGCGGCCAGCCTGGTCTACAAAGTGAGTTCTGGGCCAGCCAGTACTACATAGTGAGACCCTGCCTCAAAAAGAGCCAGGTGTTGGTACCTGTAATCCCAGCACTGGGGAGGTAGAGACAGGAAGGTCCCTGGAACATGCTGCCCAGCTGCTCTTGCTTAATTGATGAGCTCCAGATTGAGTAAGAGACCCTGTCTCAAAACAAGGTGGAGAGTGACAGAGGAAGACACCTGACATTGACCTCTGACCTACACACACACACACACACACACACACAAAAGCACACATTTGTACACACATGAACATGCACATACCAAAATAATAATAATACAAAGACCTTGAAAGGGACAGGCTGAAGAGATGGCTCAGCAGTTAAGACTATGCATTGCTCTTGCAGAGGACCCAAGTTCAATGCACAGCACCCAATCAGGCAGTTCAGAGCCACCTGTAACTCTAACTCTAGAAGCTTCAACATCTTCTTCTGGACTCCACAGGCATCTGCCCATGCATATACCCCCCACACTCACACAATATAATTAAAATAAATCTTTTTCGAAAACCCTGGGAGGGGACCCCTGCCATCAGTGAAGACTGAGAGGTTAGGGACTCTGGGGCTCCCCAGCTAGGGCTAGGGCTGATTCAGGACTCTCTCCGACCCTTACCCCTTCCCCATCCCCAGCTCTGGCAAGGTGATACCGGGCTGCCGAGTGAAGCTGGTGAACCAGGATGCAGAGGGCATCGGTGAGATCTGCCTGTGGGGCCGCACCATCTTCATGGGCTATCTGAACATGGAAGACAAAACACATGAGGCCATTGACTCTGAAGGCTGGCTGCACACAGGTGACATGGGTCACCTGGATGCCGACGGCTTCCTCTACATCACCGGGCGACTCAAAGGTGAGCACCCCTGCCCAGGGGCAGATGGGGATTGGAGGCTGCAGTAGGTACAGGAGGAAGCCCGCTGTCAGCACTGTTTTCACCCACTGCCAATCCTGAGCCTTCACTGAGCACTTCATGCCCCATCAACATCACTCTGCTCTCCTCTGGACCAGGTACTGTCACTGCTGCAAATTAACAAGGCTCTGTAGACAGGCTGTGTAACTAGTTCAAGGTCACCCAGCTAGTAAATGGGGGCGCTGGGATTTACATCCCCTACAGAAGCAACAGGCAAGACTTTCCAAATGATTTGAAGGCATAAGCATTATATACTTTCAAAATTCTCTTTTAAATTGTATTCTCTGTGTATGAGTGTTTTGCCTACACGTATGTAAGTGCAGCATGTTCGTGCAATGCCGAATGGGGACCAGAAGAGGGCATCAGATCCTCTGGAACTGAAGTAACAGAAATTGCTAGCTGCCATGTGGATGCTGGGAATTGAACCTGGGTCCTCTGCAAGAGCAACCAGTGGTCTAACCACTGACCCATCTCTCCAACTCCAGCATTATGTATTTTTATATAGAAATATGGATGTGATAGAGTAAAGCAGAGTGGACATGAATTTTAAAATAAAGCATGAAAGTAAACTGGGGACTCCTCCATGGAAAGGTATTTTGCTTGTCTTGTTAGTGTGAGTGTGAAACACACATCCCCCAGGTGGCAATCTTGCACCAAGCTTGGTGACTTTCTAGATATTGTACAGGCAATGTGCAGTTGAAGCCAAGCTCCAACTGATGGAGGCTCCAACCCTTCAGGGATGGGTCAGTTTGGACTTGCTCAAGTCAGTGAGTCCTGGCAAGTAAAAGCCTGGCTCTGAAGCAGCAGGTAGTTACTGTGGCGCACTGTACACGTTTGCACCACCTAGTGTTCAATTTTGTGACGGCAAGTGAGGGGACCTGCATCCCTACTCTAGGATAGCCTGGTTCTACTTTTAGATAGTGTGGTGGAAGGTAAGAATTCAGATACCTTTTCTCCAAGAACATATACAATTGGACCATTATCATTCACAGAGAAGACCTCCTTTCCCCATTGTCCTGCAGCACCACCTTTTTCATTTATGAAGTAAGCGACTGTCTATGAGACGTTGGCCCTGGGACTCTGTTCTGTTCTGTTTACCCATCCTTGTACCAGTCTCCCAGTGTCTTCATTTCTGTGGCTTTATGATGTGGCTGGAGTCTGGTTCTGTAAGTTCTGCAGCCCTCTTCTTCAGCTCCAAAGTGACCTTGGCTATTCCTGCCATTGAATTTCCATTTGAATTTTTGGAATCATTATGTCGATGTACTCAAAACATTGACTTCAATTTCGATTTTCATTTCATTGAATTTACTCATTGATTTGGTAAGGTCAAACATCTTTCAGAATTGAGTCTGCCAATCTCTAAAGATGATATATCTGTCCCTCCATTTACTTGGGTTTCTTTAATTTCTCTTGACTGTGCATTCAAGTTTTCAACATGGTGATTTTTTTTGCACCTCTTTCCTTATATTTACCCCCAAGAACTTTATTTGTATGCTATAGTAAATATTATCATTTAAATTTTTGTTTTCTAAGCCTGGTGTGGTGGCACATGCCTTTCATCCCAACACTTGAGAGACAGAGGCAGGCAGATCTAAGGCCAGCCTGTCCCAGGCCTGCTGGGGCTACAGGGAGACCCTGTCTCAAAAAAGATCAAAAAAAACTTTTTTGTTTACTATTTGTTGCTGGGATATAGAATGCAATTAGTTTTTTTTTTTATAGATTGGACTTGGATCAAATGACTTTTGTGGTTGTTCTAGGGATAGAGCATAAATCCTTGAGCATGCCAGGCAAGCAGTCTATCACTGGGCTATATCTCATATCTATTTAATTTTTTGGAGATACTCTTGCTACATTGCCCAGGCTAGCCATGAACTTTCAATCCTTCTGCCTCAGCCTTTCCAAGCAGCTGGATTGCAAATGTCATCAAGCCCTGCTTCGAATGACATAGTCCTTGATTTGCGATCTTCTTGGATTTTGGGTTTTGTTTTGTATATTTGTTTGTTGGGGTTCTTCATTTTTATTTTTATTTTTTTTAATTTAATTTTTTTGGTCTTTTTGAGTCAGAGTCTCCCTGTAGCCCCAGCTGTCCTGGAACTCACCATATAGACCAGCTGGCCTTGAACTCATAGAGATCCGCCTGCCTCTGCTTCCCTAGTGCTGGGATTAAAGGCCTGCGCCACCATGCCCAGCCATTTTTATTTTTTATGTGTATGAGTGTTTTGGTCTGCAGGTATATAGGTGCACCACTTGAATGAAATACCCACAGAGGCCAGAAGAGGGCACTGGATCCCCTGGAACTGGAGTTAACAGACATCAGCCAAGATGTGGGTGCTAGAAACCGAATCTGGGGCCTCTCCAAGAGCAACCAATGCTCTTAAACACTGAGCAATTTCTCCAGCCCCAGTTGTTGATTTGTTTTTTGTTTTTGTTTTTGTTTTTGTTTGGGGTTTTTTTTTTTGATGGTTTTAAATTCAAATTTAATGTTTCGAAGTAAAAATGCAAGATAACAAATTTTTATAAAACTGTCACATTGGAATACACCTTAAAATACTATCACACGCTACATTTACTTAGAAAGAATTAGTAGATCCAGTGGAAACCTGTTTAAATGTGAGTTCCTTTCTTTGAGCAAAAAGGAAGCTTATGTGCAAATGCTGGATACACCAGGGCAGTCAGCAGTGGCTCAGTACCTCCAGGTATCAAGAAGTCTGGAGTCTGGCCTCCCTGGTGGGATGAGCATCCCTGCAGCTTCCCCAGGTGCGCTGGAGGAGCTGTGACTGGATGCTTCCCAAGTCCTGTGTGCCACGGTCCTTCATTTTCTGGTGACACTACAAGTATCATCACTGTTTACCTTGAATTGTAAACTTCAACAGAAAATAAGTAGCATGCTTACAAGCTTTACTACAAGGAGCTCTAGGATCTTCATTGAGACTCAACACCACTGGTTCCAGAAGGCTCTGATCTGGTTCCCTTTTTCACGTGGTGTTTGTACCTTGGGAACATCATCCACACAGAGCAGCATTCACAAGGTAGAACCAGCTGTGGTCCTTTCCCATGACTGTGCCACATCATTGCTCTGGCTCCAACTATCCTCTCTCCAGTTATAGAGTCTACTCTACAAATGGTATTTTAAGATTTCATTCTATTAATCAACAATTTGAGGTTTTTACATAATAGCCCTTCAGCTATTTTGCTGATCTATAGATCTCATCTGATTTGTGTAAGGGCAAGTAAGAAGCATATACTGGTGATCTTAGCACCTTGTACTGGGGTCTCTTTATTGATGTGTGCTAGCCTCAAAAGAATCAAGCAACTTTGCTCATATTTTCTCTCAAATAAAATATTATTTTCTTTTGAATAATAAAACATAATTAGATCTCCCTGTAGCCCCAGCTGGCCTGGTACTCATTATATAGACCAGGCTGGCCTTGATCTCACAGAGATTCATTCACCTGCCTCTGCCTCCCAAGTGCTGGGGCTTAAGGTGTATGCCACCACGTTTGGTTCATAATTGGTTTTTTTACAACAAAGACATGCTCGGGACAAAAATCACAAAACCATGAGCTATGATGAATGATCCAAAAAATTAGCCAACTCATTATTTCCATATGTCACTTATAAAGGTTCAAGCATGGGGCTGGAGAGATGGCTCAGCAAAGAGCACTGACTTCTCTTGCAGAGGACCCGGGTTTGAGTCCCAGCACCCACATGGTGGCTACAAACAGTCCTTAACTCCAGTTCCCCTCCAGGGGAATCCAAAGCCCTCTTCTGACCTCCATGGCATTGCACAACATGGTGCACTCACATACATGCAGGCAATACACTCATACACATAAAATAAAAACAATAAATAAAATATTTTTTAAAAATAAATAAAGGTTCAAGCATTTGACCCCACCCATGGATCCAGGTTTTAAGACACATAATTCCATATCATCATTTCTATAGTTGAACAAAAACTAGATGCAGTCTTAATATGCGTAGGGAGTGTCATTAAAATCCATCACTGCAACATTTAACTTCATAATCACCTGAAAATTCATAGTATAATCATATATTGCTAATTATTAAAAAAAAGTAAATTTAGAAATTCCTCTCATAATTATTGTACCATTATCAACATTTATTTGTTCCTAATTAAATTCAACAACTACCTTATGTTGAGTTTGATGTAGCTGCATTACGGTTCTATTGCTTGGGCAGTGGCATGGTTCTAAGTACCACCTGGAACGTCAGATTAGATTTTAAATGGGAGGGAAATAAAGTTCTTTTGTGAGCATGGACACAATACATGGAATCTGTTTCTTTGCATGAAAAGTGTAATCAAAAGAAAAGGACTCAAATTGTGTTGCTACCTTCCGGTTAACACGAGTAAGAATGTGCACAAACTCGTCTGTGTGCATATTCATTCAGCAGAGCACAAAGTGACTGGATGAATGAGGATCCATTTTTTTTAATTTCTCCAGGAATAGTAGCCCAGTGCTGTGGAGTATGTGTACAGGAAGTCAATCTCCACAGGTATCTTCTAGTTCTCCATGTCATCCTCAGTGCCACTGTCATCTGTCTCAATGCCACAGTCTAGCTCTGTACCCCTGTAGGCCTGAATGATGAAAAGTCTGGGTTTTCCAGTTAGAGTTTGGCAATAATCTCCTCTGAAGAAACTAGTTAATTTTTTCAGGTCAACAGATCCATTTGTTCCAAAATTTTTTCCTTCCTCACCATGGCTTAGACTTCCACAGACAAAGCCGCTCCTCTTGCTGTGATCTTCTTTAGAAACATTGTGTAACAATTCCAAACTTTCTTCACCGGTAAGATCATTTTTATTCCTGACTCCATATTTCAAGTTCATGAATGTTTCTCTGAGGTTGGCTGAATCTACATCTGTACCAGGATGGAGGTGATATCTGGTTCTTTTATGAAAGCTCTTATTAATTATTATACATAAACCCAATTCAGGGTAATCCATTTTGTAACCATTGTCCAAGGATATTCCAGAGTCCATTGATTTGCTTCCATGTATGCACTTTGTTTCAAAATTTTTAATGGATTTTGAATCCACTGAGGTTTCATTGTTCTCCGTGGCCAGTTTTTAAAACTCAAGGCTCTCAGCTCCACGCTGCAAGACTTACCGCCTCGATTCCAGTCTACACTCTGTTTATTTGTTTTTAAACAGTGTCTTGCTAAGTAGCCCAAGCTTGTCTCAAGCTCACAGCACTCCTGCCTGAACCTTCTGAGTGCTGGGATCACAGGTGTATGCCACCATGCCCAGCTGTTTGGGGGTTTTGTTGTTTCTTTGCTTGTTTTGAGGTTTTTTTTTTTTTTGCAATTCTGTGGAATGAAACCAGGGCATTGTATATAGCAGACAAGTGTTCTACCACCGAGCTAGCAAAGTTTGTTCTTTGGAAATTTCTATAGACACAATCATATCATCCGCATATGGTTTTTTTCCCCTCTTTTTTTGGGGGGAGTCTTTTTGAGACAGGGTCTCCCTGTAGCCCCAACTGTCCTGGAACTCACTATGTAGACCAGGCTGGCCTTGAACTCGGAGATCTGCCTGCCTCTGCCTCTCGAGTGCTGGGATTAAAGGCGTGCGCCACCACACCAAGCTCCCTTTCTATTCTTTATGAAAAGTTTTAAAGTTTTTTTAAAAACTTGTTTAATTTTATTTTATGTGTATGAGTGTTTTGTCTGCATGTATGTAAATGCACCATGTGCATGTAGTGCTCATCGAGGCCAGGAGAGGGTGTTGGAACTTCTGTAACTGGAGTTATAGACAGTTGTTAGCCACATGTAGGTGCTGGGAGCCAAACCTGGGTCCTCTACAAGAACTGCAAGTACTCTTAACCCATGAATTTTTTTTTTTCTTTGTCATTCAGGTTAGGAAAACCTACCTACCCTTCCACAATGTTGAATAGAAATGGCAATAGTCAGGCTGGGGATGGAGCTCTGTGATAGAGCACTTATCTAGCATGCATGGTGCCCTGGGTTTGATCCTCAGCATCACAAAAGGAGAAAAAATAGTGAGAGAGGCCATCCTTGTTTTGTTCCTGGACTCAGGAGAATATCTTCAATATATTTTAAACATGTTTTTTAAGTGTGTGTGTGTGTGTGTGTGTGTGTGTGTGCATGCACACACACACAGGTATGTTCATGTCATAGTGTGTGTGTGGAAGTCAGAGGACAACTTTTGTTTTCACCCTCCACCTGTTGAGCCGGGGCCTCTCTTGTTTTACCATACTGCATACTCCAAGCTTGCTGGCCAGGTAGCCTCTGGGCAACTCTGTCTCCACCTCCCATCTCCCTGCCGGAGGGCTGGGACTGCAAGTGCACACCACTGCATCTGTTTTTTGGGTTTTTTTTTTTTTCTTTTTTTCTGGTCTTTTTGAAGCAGGGTCTCCCTGTAGCCCCAGCTGTCCTGGAACTCACTATGTAGACCAGGCTGGCCTTGAACTCACAGAGCTCCACCTGCCTCTGCCTCCCAAGTGCTGGGACTACAGGCGTGCGCCACCATGCCCAGCTCTGCATCTGGTTTTTTGACTTGGGTTCTGGGGAAATCAAACTTGGTTTATCAGGCTTTTTCTCTTTCTTTCTCCAGTGTGTCCTCAGTATTTTACCACTAAGTGTTCTTGTTGTGGATATTTTGCAGGTATTCTTTATCAGATTAAGGAAATTCCATTCCATATTAGTTTGCTAAGGGTTTTTAATCACTTACTGAAGGTGCTGGGGAGAGTGGGAGTGGCAGAGAAAGGCAGGAATGAGGTACACAGCAGGTGCTGCGATTAAAGGCATGCACCAAACTACCTGGCCTGATCATTTAAACTCTTATATGGTTTCCTCTATGGCCAGCTCATCCCCTGTAACACCCTTCATCCCAATCAACCAGAGTGTTGTTATAACTTTGACCCAGACCCATTCAGTGCTTCCCACCTGCCTGCTCTTAGGCCAGTCCCTTGGGTGACCTGGAGGCCTTTGGGCAAGTCCTTTGGGTGGCCTGGAGGCCTCGATCGACCCTGCACCTTGTCGCCTCCCTTCACTTACTGCCTCAGCTCCAAAGGCTACGTGCTTCTACTCTGTCCTAGGCTCTGCCCTATTCATGCTTTGCTTCTGCAGGCCATGTGCTTCCTGACCCTGTCAGCCTCACTGCACTGTGAGCTCCTAGAAGCAATTTATTTAAAATTTTGGCCAGAACTGAGGGACGGGGGTGGGGTGGGGGGATGACTCAGTGCCTCTCCACCTTGCCTGTGCTAAAATTTATAGACGGTCAGGAAATATGCATATGTAGATTTAACTCTGACTAAAGAAAAGTTATGGGAATCTTTTTCCTGGAACACAGTTCCTTCTCTGGCAGTTAGGACTTTGGGCTATTCTCATGCCCAGCATGGATCTACTGGAAAAATTTTAGGAACTTCATTTTATTGAGGTTGTTGCCATCTACCCTGGAAATATATCATCTTCCAGAACAGAAGATGTGAATGATCTTGGCCTTTCCCACAGAAATGCTTGATAAATATTTGAATGAAACAGGCACAGTGGGTAGGTAGAGGGATGCTCCAAGAAGGGAGAGGAGGGAGAGGTCAGAGAGGCTGAGAGAGCTGGAGAAGGCTTCTTGAAGCAGACCACTGACCAGGGTCTGGAAGAACAAGCAGTGCACTAGGCAGGTAGAAAGAAGGCAAAAGGGCTTCCCAGTGGGAATAGCACAGTATAATAAGGCACCTCATCAAATGGAGAGGGAGGATGCAAGAGCACAGGCTCAGAACTGAGCTGGATTTCAAGCTTAGCTCCATTCCTTGCCACCATATAACAATGGACAAGCTGCTGAACTCTGGGCCTAGTTTCCTCTCTGCAAAATGATGAGAGAGCTCTTCTTTAGAGACTAATTGTGAGAATGGAATGAATCACTGTACATACGGCGCTAAGCCTGTGCATCAGGGTACGATGAGTGTTGTATGAGTGACAGGTCACTCTCAAGCAGAGGCAGATTCAGGGGCAGAGTGGGAGATCAGCGAGAACTGGGGGCACCAGGGATGAGCTGGCTGAGGAGAGGTCTCAGATAATGCAGAATGGGAGACATGGTGAGCAGATGTCCTCAGAAGCTGCCACTGCCCCCCAGCTGGTATGAGGTACTTTGGAAAACCAGGCCTGTATCTTGGCTCCTGAGAGGGCCTCTCCTGCACTGTGCCTGCTGCTCAGGCCTCCCTGACTTTGGCCAAGGCAGGATTGAGGTTCAGTCAAGGCTTGGCCTTGCCTCCCCAGAACTAATCATCACTGCTGGCGGAGAGAACGTGCCCCCAGTGCCCATCGAGGAGGCTGTGAAGACAGAGTTGCCCATCATCAGCAGTGCCATGCTTATTGGGGACCAGAGGAAGTTCCTGTCCATGCTGCTAACCCTGAAGGTGTGTCGGAGGTTCTGACTCTGGAGGTGTGGCACAGGGGTGGTCTGTGGTTGGGCCCAGCAGAAGCCACACACAGCCCAGGGCATATAGGGCATTCACAGTTTTATCCTGGTGTCACTCACTATGAGCGTGGGTGGAAATTCTTCTCTCTCAGTGGGGGTATTAAGATGATCCTTTCCAGGTGGCGTGCATTCCAGTTCACAAAGTGCTGCCACCCACCAGAATTATCCACAGCAAGCACTTGGGCTCTCTGCATCACAGCCAGGCAGGAGTCTGAGCTGACTCTCCATTCTGGGCTGAACATTGGTATCCTGCTCACTCTAGAACTGTCTTTCTGATATCAAGTCCACAGCAATTCCTACCCTTGTAATCTGTGACCTCCTCCCAGACCACGGCTTGGTCCTGTGGAGCAGGGGTGAATCATCAGTTCTCTTCACTTTTCAGTGCACCCTGGACCCAGAAACATCTGAGCCAACCGACAATCTGACAGAGCAGGCTGTGGAGTTCTGCCAGAAGGTGGGCAGCAGAGCCAGCACTGTGTCCGAAATCGTGCAGCAGAGGGATGAGGCCGTGTATCAGGCCATCCATGAAGGGATCCAGAGGGTGAATGCCAGTGCAGCAGCCCGGCCCTACCACATCCAGAAGTGGGCCATCCTTGAGCGGGATTTCTCCATTTCGGGTGGAGAATTGGGTAGGTTTTCCTTTTCACTGTTCCTGGGCCCGTGTGAGAGGGCAGAGGCCATGGCAGTTTCAGGGAAGAGTCCACTGGGAGGTAGCCGTGCCAGCAGAGGCATCAGGTAGGGTTTGGATGGCAGCCATGCCTTCTTCCTGCGGGAGGACATCGACTGCTGGGTACACAGGCTTCTGGTTGTAGTGAATCTGCAGAATAAGCAGTCACTTCTGAATCTGCTGGCTGCAGCAACCTTGGAACAGAAATACCGAGAGGAAAAATTGCAACCATCTTCAACATATGCAAATTTTTTTTCTTGTCCGTATTCCTTAAATAATAGAGTATAATCCTTCAAACAGAATTTACATCGTCTTAGGTATCAGAAGTCATCTAGAGACAACTTAAAAAGCATATGGGAAGATGTGTGTTGATCATGCGCAAACACATGCTATTTCACATAAGGGGCTTGAACGCTGAGGCGTAGGTATATTACATATGTGCCAGAACTTATTAATTTGAACTTGAAACATTGTTTTTCCTCGACTATCAGACTGTTTTCTCCTTGGAATCACAATGGACACTTAAGGAGCACACCATGGCCCTGCAGGTGTTGGTGTTCTAGGGTGAGACCACCCTGTAATCTGTGATGTCAGCCACATGGTTAATAAAGGGACAAAATCATTTGGACCACAGTCCAGGCCCAGAAAAGCCTGTAGTGCAACCTCAGCTGGCCAGAGAAGTCATTCCTGGCTGTGATATCCAGAGGTGCTCATGGCACTGGGCACTGGACATGGGTCTTCAGTGAGACTCCCTCTCAGCCACTAAGGTTGAATGCAGCCGCACTTTGCAGTAATGTTGAGCTGTATTGAAGATGCTGAGACTATCTAACCAGATTTGCTCAAATTGGATGCAAGGTCAACTGAACAAATGTCCTTTCTAGGCAGTGTATAAATGACCCTAATCTTGATGTTTCTAGTTGAGGGCAAATTGGGCACAAAAGCTATCTAGGACTGCCCTTTCAACCTTGCTTTAAATGGGAGAAACAAAGGTCAAAAAACGTGATTTGGTGAAGTTTTGAACATTAAGACCCCATCTGGGACCACACCTGACTAAGCTCCTCCCATCACAAGCCATCAGTCTACCATTATATGAATTATCACTGAGATGCAGGCATGATTTATATATCAGTTATCTACTGCTGTGAAACTACTCCCAAAAGGAGAGGCTTAAACAATAGACATGGAGTCAGGTGTGGTGGGGCATGCCAGGACTCAAAAGATGAAGGCAGGAAGAGGTTAAGGCCAACTTCTGCTTACATAGTAAATTTAAGGAAAGCCTGGGCTACCTGAGACCCTTTTTCAAATAAATAAATAGACACTATCTTAATTTTGGTGGGCCAGGTATCAAGAGCAGCTTATCTGGGTGCTCTGACTAGGAGTCTCCCATGAGACTGGTTAGAATGGGATGTGTGGCAGTCACCTGGAGCCACAGGGTATGTTCACACTCCTTTGCCCACTCGTGTCTTTAATTGTATTTGGGGTTCTGTACTGGCTGAGTGGGGCCTGAGGGTTCAGTTCTTGATCAGTTGACCTCCCCAAAGGCTGCTTGCATGTCCTTGAATGGTGACCCACTTGCCCTATAATCATCTCAGAGCTGGAGAAATGGCTCAGTGGTTAAGAACACTGGCTGCTCTTGCAGAGAACCTGGTTTTGTTCTCAGTACCCCCATGGTGGTTAACTCCAGTTCCAGGGGATTTGCCACCCTCTTCTGGACTCCCTGGGCATTGCATGACATGGGTGCACTTACACAGCAGGCGAAGCAATCATACACATGAAATAAAAATAATTTTAAAGAGTAATCTGATCACTTCTCGGCCTTTTGGCTAAGATCAAGAGTGAAGAGTAATCTGAAAGCACCTGACAGAGAAGGTGTGTGTTTGATGGGTACAATCATTTGCAGTTGATGGTTGCATCCACAGGTCCATCTGCAGACTTAATACCAGTTCAAAATATTTTTTAAAAATCATGCATACTGAACACATAGGCACACCTCTTTTCCCCCCTAGTACTGGGGATTGATTCTAGGGCCTCTGACATGCCAGACAAGAGCTGTACTACTTAGCTATATACCATTTTTTAAAACTTTTTTGAGACAAGGGCTCACTAAATGATCCATGCTGGCCTTGAACTCACTGTAGACCAGGCAGGCCTTGAACAGGTGATCCTCCTGCCTCAGCCTTCTGAGTAAATGGGATTACAGGCCACTAAAACTTGATTATGTATAGACATTTTTTTCTGTGTGTCACATCACACTATAACCTTTATTTACACTGCATTTATGTGATATTTTAAGCAATCTAGAGATGTTTAAAGCATATGGAAGGATATGTGTGGGGTTTGTGCGAATAACATACCCTTTTGTTAAAAGACTTGAGCATTTTTGACCTACGAGGTTCTGGAAACATACCAGAACCTGTATTTTGAGGGATGGTGTATTCATTCAAGGGAGGCTCAGTGGAAGATTAAGATGGCGTCAAAGGGAAAGTGAACACAGTTACACTAATAGGTACTGGAAAGAAAAATGGAGCCATTTCCATTCCCACCCCATCATTCCCTCTGATTTCTATAGGTTGCAGACCAATCCAGAGTTAAGTCAGGCCATTAGGTGAGCTGTGACTGCTGTCTCTGCAGTGCACATTAGTAGCAGGACAATCCTGGTTCACTGAGGAACAGGGTGGCTGAAGGGGTACAATACCCAGAGGTTGCCTCATCTTGGAGGCTGGTTATGCAGCCTGTCCTGTTTCTCTGGCCCCCTACTGACCTCTGGGTCTCACTGCAGCCGCGCTTTACCACACACCTTCTCAAGTCACTGGGCCTCACTCGTTTCTAATTTTTCTTTTAGGCCCCACCATGAAACTGAAACGGCTCACAGTTCTGGAGAAGTATAAAGACATCATCGATTCCTTTTACCAAGAGAAAAAACAGTAGTCAGAGGGGTGTGCATGTGGTTTCTGCTGGATAGTGGCCTGTCAAGCACCCGCCTGAGCTCCCCATGTGTGTCCAGACAAGCACGGAACTCAGACAAGGCAGTTCTGTCCTTAGTTCAAGGCACAGCACTGACATCTGCAATTCCTTCATGTGCAAATAGATTAAATTCTCAGCACTGCTTCCTGTTCAGGTGTCAAACGAGATCACTCTTCTTCCAGAACAGAAAGGCCACTCATTTTGGCCTTAGGTCCAGATAAACTTCTTAAGCTTCTGGCTCACATAACAGGTCTGCCAGGGAAGTCTGTTGGGAGAGAGGGAAAGGAATGATGGTCCTGCTACTAATGTGCACTGCAGAGACAGCAGTCACAGCTCACCTAATGGCCTGACTTAACTCTGGAATCTTCGACACTCCACCTCCCACACAACGGGCTTGATACTTAATAAACTGCTGCTGCCTATGTGACTATATTTAATGTATAATTTGAGTATTAAACCTTTTAACACAGCTGCCAACAAGTACCTGATGTTTTTTGTTGATTGAGCAAGTGGAATACAGCCATAGTGAGTAGTTAACCCACAGATCTGTGAGTAACCCTTAGTATATCTTTAGTGCCCTAGATGGAATAAACGAAGGTGTAGGATGGGGTCAAGTGGAACATTCTAGTAAAAGCAGCTAACTGTAGAGTTACCATTCTTAGCAACAAGCTAGGTCAAAATGCCCTAAGGCAGTTGACCAGGAAACAGGCAGAGAAGGCAAACACTTCAATTTTTGAATTTTTTATTACTGTGACCCCAAGAGCCACTGATAACTAGAACAATCCAGTAAGAGAGGAAGCAGCAGTTTAAGATTGTAAGTCTTGATACAAGCTTAAACAACTCAGACAGGGATATTTGTTAAGAAATCCCCTTTTGACCTGGGTACATTATGCAAAGTCACAGGTTTACAGGTTTACAGAAGGGTCAAAGGCAAGACACAAGTGACTTTGGTGTGAGCCAAAGGGTAACTTCATGCTGTGGTGGAAAGTCAGAGGTTGTAGGGTCAGGAACCTGATGGTTACAAGTTGGCAACATGGGCTCCACCTTGGCCCAATTTGTGCATCAGCTCGAGCTGAGTCAGCTCAGCCTCTGCAATGGGGTCTTTTATGGGTGCTCCTGGGACAGAGGGCAGGGATTTGGTGCTCTGGAGGAAGTGAAGGGGCAGCTATGGAAATCTAGCATCCCAGGTTCTTGAACTACAGCCAAGAGAAGTGGCCAGGCCTTTCCAGTGTTACCTGGAGCAGCTGGAGTGTGGGCCCCTTTCCAGGGACATGCAGGAGTAAATCTACAGTGGCTTCCTCCCTGACCGAAGGTGTCAGTACAGGGGCTGGACAGCTCCTGACGCCAATGTGTCTAGTGAAGAGGAATGACCCTCCCCTTTACTTCATGAAGAGCTCTCACAAAAAGTAGTAAATCTCAAATTAACAAAACAATTGAATCCACAGTGCGTTTGGGGCTTCAACCTAATATATTACCTACATCTCATTAACAGAAATTACATCACCCATTATATATGTCTTGAATATTTTTATTAATAGTAATTCATGTAAAGGACAAATATATTTTCCATAAGAAATATACCATTTTTGCTGTTTTTGATGTGAACTTTCCCAGGAACTTTCTCTGGTGCCCATTTAATTTTATAAGAATGTCACCTTGTGCTATTGTTAATATCCTGTTTTATTCCCAATGTTTTTCATAAACCAAAGAGAACAGGGTTTTTGTTTAAAAAGTTAGATATTTCCCCATATTACATCGGTATCATATTTACAACTGAGGAACATTTATTCTGACTGAAGTGTAAAATGGGTAACAATGATAAATGATACAGTTTACAAAAAATGTTTACCAGATAAACAATAAATAAAACAAGCACTTGGGAAAAATCCTTTGAAAGCAGGCCTAGGGCCATCACATCCTCTGCACAGATTCTGTTAAGAAAAGGCTGGATTTGAAAATGTACTCTGCCAAGAAAGAAGCAAACCAATGCAGATGTAATGGCAGGCATTTCAAGAGAGGACTGCAGGGTGTCCTTCAGGAGTGACTGACAGCAGCAAAGCCATCTGCAGAATTGCTAATCTAAGTCTTTTACCCGGCGGCAGATTTCTTCTGTGAAGTCAGAGCACTTTGCACTGCCTCCCAGGTCTTTTGTTAAACTCTGAGAAAAGGAAAAAGCAAAGATAAACATGTATTTCCACACTGAATTAAAATAAGGATATTTTTATTTAAAGCTGTCAGTGAAATATGAACTGAGCAAGGTACCTTCCTGCTGATTTCAAAACGAGGTCCCACCACATGCCATCTACCAACCCTAGGAAGCCTGGAAAAACTCCATGAGGTAGTGTACACAAAAAACACCCCAAGCCAGGTGTGGTGGTGCATGCATACAATCCCAGCACTCAGGAAGCTGAGGTAGGAAGATTGCCACAAGCTCAAAGCCAGCCCAGTCTACACAGCAAGTTCTAGGCCAGTCAGGGCTACATAGCAAGATCCTGTGTTACAACAAAGCAACATCTCTCAAAGAATAAGGCCTTTTCACTAGGGAGCAGGAGGTGGGGTGGGGGTCTAAAACCTCCTTTGTTCATGCTACTGACTAAAATGCTGGGTGATTACAGATAGTTAAATGATGGCAAATGTAAACAAACTATGGGGAATTTTAAGAGCTCAAAAAACTTAAGGCATGTTCTAATCTATTTTGGGAGGCTTGGATACAAATACCATGAAAATACTTAAGCAGCTGACTCCTAAGTTTCCCTCTTTAGGAGAAGCCTTCAGCACAACCAGCCTGTTTTCTACTAGCTCACTCTCTCTTTACTGCAAACAAATGTCAACATATTGAGCTCTTCCTTGCAGCTCCATCCTACACGGCTAAGAGGAAACATGTAAGGCTGGCATCTTTCTGTTCAGCTCTACATCATAAGTTCCTGAGTACAGGCTCACAATAAAAGACAAACAATATCACTATTAAAGGCTATTAAAAACATGCTTGCATTTCTTGGCGTTTGGCCATACAAAGTAATCTCAACTTGTAACATATTTAAAGGGGCCATCTTTGAAATATTTTGCTACATACTTTGCCTAGATCACAAGGGCTAACACCAGTACAGGTGGCCTTGGGCCCGGCTCTCCCTTACCCTGCAGTGCCTCTTAACTCTTTTGGAAGAAATATTTGGATCTTCCCCCAAGAAAAATGCACACATGCACACATACGTTCTCTAAGTTCAATTACGGAGCCCACAGCAAGAATCTCTATTTAACGTCAAACCCTTCAGCTCTCGAGAAATGTACTTCAGCAGTTTATGGTGGTCAAGGTAACAGATACCTTTCCATCCTTAATTGTAGCAAAACAGGCAGTCTCAATTTTTGCAGCATGGTCAAAAAGTCCCATGTGGCGCAGCATCATCACAGCACTGAGCAGGAGGGCCGTGGGATTGGCCATGTCCTTGCCTGCAATGTCTGGGGCCGTCCCATGTACCTGTTCACAATGTAAGGAAATAGTGTCAGCAGGAGGGAGACAAGAACAGGCAGCCCTTGCCTGGGGCTGTAGCCCAGTGCTTAGCATGGATAAGGTTCTGGGTTCAGTCCCCAGTACCAACCAAAAGAAAAAGAGCAATCATCCCTTCTGGAGAGACTGAGATCTCAATCCTTTCTTTGCCAATAAAAAACATTTACTTTTATTATTTTTATTTTATGTCTATGTACCTGCATGTATGTAAGTGCACCTATGCATGCAATGCCCAAGGAGGCTAGAAGAGGGTGTTGGAACCCCTGGAACCGAAGTTACGGATGGTTGTTAGCCACCATGTGGGTGCTGGAAACTGAACCTGGGTTCTCTGCTAGAGCAGCCAGTGCTCTTAACCATTGAGTCATCTCTCCAGGCCCCCCAAAATACTTATTAAAAGCTGCTGTGTGCAATTCATCTGACACACACAGAGCTTAGAAATAAAAATAAAGCCATGCCACATATGGTGGTGTACACCTTTAATCCCGTCACTCAGGAGGCAGAGGCAGGCAGATCTCTGTGAGTCTGAGGCCAGCCTGGTCTACATAATGAGTTCCAGGCCAGCCAGGACTACACAGTGAGACCCTGGTTTTTTATTTTTATTTTTTTAATTTTATGTGTATGCATATATTGTCTGCATGTAGGTGAGTGCACCGGTGTTGTGCAATGCCCGAGGAGGTCAGAAGAGGCTGTTGGATCCCCTGGGACTGGAGTTACGGACAGTTGTTAGGTGCCATGTGGGTGCTGGGATTCAAATCCGGGTCTTCTGCAAGAACAACCAGTGGTCTTAACTGCTGAGCCATCTCTCTAGCCCCAAGACCCTGTCTTTAAAAATAAAAACAAAACAAAACAAACCAAGGCTAGAAAGATGGCTTGGTGGGTAAAGCTCTTGCCTTGTAAGTGTGAGAACCTGAGTTCAAATCCCCAGAACCCACATAAAAATTGGACACATAGTACAAACCTCAGGAATTCCAGTGCTCCCACAGACCCTGTTTCAAAACAAGGTAGAGAGCAAGAACCAACACCCCAGGCTGTCCTCTGATCGCCACATGCACACTATGGCACATACGTGCCCTCATGTGTCTGTCTGTCTGTTTCTCTCTCTCTCTCTCTCTCTCTCTCTCTCTCCCACACACACACACACACACACACACACACACACACACACAGAAAAAACTGTGGACCAACAATATTTTCACTCAGGATGCTGAGGCAGGAGGATCAAAAACAGATGGACAGACAGAAGGGAAGGAGGGAAGACTGGAGAGAAACAAACAAAACAAGGCTACATAAAAAATAAAGCTGGGCAAGTTTGCACACACCTTTAATCCTAGCACTTAGGAAGCAGAGGCAAATGAATTTCTGTGAATTTGAGGCCAGCCTGGTATATACAGTGAGTTACAGGCCAGCCAGGGCTACACAGTGAGACCTCATCTCAAAAATAAATCATAATTTCTCCTGACAGTGTGCAAAGCTCCAGAGTTAAAAGGCCTATGTAGACTTTACAATGAACCTAATAATGGGGCTGAATGCTTTTCTCAGCTGCACAGGGCAGATAAAAGGTGGAGGGCAGGTCTAACCAGGGCAGTGGCTTTGTAAGCCAGAATATATCAAAGAGACTCAGAGAATCTGAGGGCTGTTTATAAACTGGGTAAGGACGGAAAAGAAGAGAGGGATGCAAAACAGAGGGATTCTAGTGGGCCATGAATTCTTGGAATCAGCCTCATACAGCGATGAGGCCAGACAGACAGGAAGTGGTAGCCTGCCTGAGAAGGCACACTTGAAATACTGAAAGCTGGGAGTGCTGGCATATGCCTGTAATCCCAATACTCTAGAGACTAAAGCAGGAGGACCATGAGTTTGAGGCCAGCCTGGGCTACAGGGTGAGACCCTGCATTTCTGACCTGAATTCTGTATGGGTGTGCTGGATAGCTTTAGTGTCAACTTGACACACCTGGGTAGAAGGAGCCTCAGAGGTTGGTGAATTGCCTCCATTGGACTGGCCTGTGGCCAGGTCTGTGAGGCATCTTCTTGATTATTGAGCGATGTGGGAGGGCCCAGCCCACTGTGGATGGTGCTGCCCCTGGGCAAGTGGACCTATGTTGGGTAAGAAAGCAGGCTGAGCATGGGTCAGGGGAGCAAGCCAGTAAGCAGCATTCCTCCATGGCTTGTGCTCCAGCTCCTGCCTGAGTTCCTACCTTGGGCTTCCTGATGAACTGAGACCCAGTTAACATAAGACAAAATAAACCATTTCCTCCCCAAATTGGCATTGGTCAGAGTATTTTGTCACAGCAATGGAGAAATAAACTAGAACAGTGTCAGTGTCCTTACCGACTCAAATATGGCGACCCCATTGGCTCCAATGTTGCCACTTGGAGTCACCCCAAGACCTCCAATGAGTCCTGCACACAGGTCACTAAAGACAGAAAAGGACATTTAGAAAAAGAATACATCTCAGCTAGCAATCAGATTTCATGTTTAAATATCGTTCTCCACAAGAAGGAACCAGAGTTCCTTGGGGAAGTGGCTCTTACAAGAACTCAGGTTCAGAAAATGCAGATGAGCCTGGAGCAGCTTACTGTGCCAGAAAGTAAGGTCAGGGTCAAAGAAGGAAGGGCCAGGTCCCAGGGACACAGGAGCTATGGAAAGGAGGCGCCTAGCCAAGTCGGGACAACCTGAGCCAGTGAGGGACTCACCACTGAAGAAGAGAGAAGAGTCTGCACTGATGCACTGATGCAGTCAACAGGTGAAGAGATAATAACAGAGAAGGAAAAGCCTTAACCTCACAGCTGAATACCGGATAATAAATGTAGAAAGAACGATGGGCTTAGAAAGTCAGGATCTGGTCAACATCCCGTGGTGTGGGGGAGGGGAAGGACAGAGTGATAAAGTAAGCAAGCCGGCCAAATATCAACATCTGGGGAATCTAGGTGCTGAGTACAAGGGATTTCTTTGTATCATTATTGTAACTTTTTTAAAATCTGAAATTATATCAACAGGTACCTGGGTGCTGGGGTATAGCTCTGTGACAGGGCATGTACTTAGCATAATCTTCAGCACAAAAAAAGGAGGAAAAATATTGTGAAAATGACTACTCATCTACCTAGTTAAACATATAGTGAAACATACTGAGAAGACCAATTAATAAGTAAACATCTGAAAAATAGCAAGAGTTAACTAATGATTAGCAAGCACTGGCATGAAACTAACAGCTGATAGGGCAGGTAATGAGCAGCCCACCCACTGTGCAGCCACTGGCATCATCTAAGCTGTTAGACTTCAGCTCCACTCTTGTGATAAATGCTATCGCTTATAATGCTTGACTGAAAACTTAAAACCATGATTTATTTTAGGATGTTTATAGAGAAACTATAGGCCAAAAATAGCAAGGGACCAGGCAGACTCACCTAAGGATGTCTCCATACAAATTTGGCATAACGAGAACATCAAACTGGGATGGGTCTTGTACCATCTATAAGGAATACATTTGTGCATTTAGCAATCAAACTGCACCATGGATACACAGTATTCACCACAGAAAGTAACCAGTAAGTGTTATGTAACATACTTACATTCAAACATACAGTATCAAGGTACATCTCATTAAATTTAATATCTTTACAGTTCTCTGCAACTTCCCTGCATTTTTGTAGAAAAAGCCCATCTGACATTCGCCTGTATTAAAAAAAAAAAAAATATTGAAAAATAAAGAGTTGTAGCAAGAACCAAGCAATGTAAGTAAGTTTGAGAAAGTTATGCTCCAAGGGCTAGCTAGGGATATGACTTGGTCAGAAAAGTACTTGCTGCACAAGCATGAACACCTGAATTCAAATCTCCATCACCTACATAAAAAGCTGGGTGTGGTGGCATGTACCTGCAATCCCAATGCTGGAGTGGCAGAGACAGGAGGATCCTTAGGACTCACTGGCCAGCCAGTCTAGCTAATCAGTGAGCTCCAGGCCATTAAGAGATCCTATCTCACAGAAGGTAGACAGTGTTCATAAGGATGACACCTGAGGTTATCCTCTGGCCTCCACACACATACACATATCCTGCATATGTACTCCTCCACCCACCCCACACAAAAAGAAAGAAATTTAAGATGTAGAAGCCAAGATCTGATTTCAATTATAGTACAATTATTTCTTGGGTAGTTAATAAAATGCAAGTTGAAAAGGCTTGGAATTTTTATACCAAAGTGTAAAAATATAAAATAATTTATTCCTAACAGAGGATAGATTTTCATGGTATTATCCAATAAGAACTAAGAAAGTGTTTGTATTAAAATTATTTTTAATTTAGGGGCTAGTAATCTTACATTTTTAAAAAATTTATTGCCAGGCATGGTGGCACACACCTTTAATCCCAGCACTTGGGAGGCAGAGGCAGGTGAGTTCTGTGAGTTCAAGGCCAGCCTGGTCTACATAGTGAGTTCCAGGACGGCTGGGGCTACAGGGAGACCCTGCCTCAAAAAGACCAAAAAAAAAGGAAATTTATATTTGGGGGCTGGAGAGATGGCTCAGCGGTTAAGAACACTGGCTGTTCTTGCAGAACACCCAGGTTTGAATCCAGCACCCACATGGAGGCTAACAACTGTCCATAACTCCAGTTCCAGGGGATCCAACAGCCTCTTCTGTCTTCTGAGGGCATTACACGGACACAGGTGCACTTACCTACATGCAGGCAATGCACACATACACATAAAATAAAAATAATAAATAAAATATTTTAAAAAGTTATTTTTTTTAATGCTGGGCATGGTGGCATGTGCCTTTAATCCCAGCCCCTGGGAGGCAGAGGCAGGTGGATCTCTGTGAGATGTCACCCTGGTTGACATTGTGACTTCTAGGTGGGCTGTGACTAGGGAGACCCTATCAAAAAACAATCAAAAAAATTTATTATTTTAATTTTATGTGTATGAGTGTATTGCCTGCATGTATGTAAGTGCATCTGTGTCATGCAATGCCCAAGGTGGTCAGAAGAGGGCCTCACATCCCCTGGAGCTGGAGTTATAGACAGTAGTCAGCCGCCATGTGGGTGCTGGAAATCAAACTCAGGTCCCCTGCAATAACAGTTGGTGTTCTTTACCACTGAGCCATCTCTCCAGCTCCATAATTTTACATTTTTGAGACATGGTGTTATATAGCCCAAGATGGCCTTGGACTTGATATGTAGCTGAGGCTGGCCTTCAATTCCTAACACTTTTATTTCTACTCCCAAGGGCCAGGATTACAGGTATGTGCAGTCATGCCCTGGCTCATACTAAAACTGCTTTAGGTTATTAACCATTATTTAAATGGTTTTATTATTTTTCCTGGTTAGGAAAGCTATTTCTTTGTACAGTTACAGATGGTCTTTAATAGCCTGGGTATGAGAATTTAAACTGCCAGAGATATACTTGTGACAGTATCCTCTATTTTAAGCCCTGAGTATATGGTCATTTCCCGCTCTTTCACTGCAAGGTATGAACTATGTGGTCTTTGCTAACCTGACCATGGCATCTTCAGGTTTCTTTTCTCTGATACCTCAGAAGCTGCATTCCTGCCCTTCCTCATTTGTTCCTATCACTCACCCAGTGAGGGCCAGCCAACAGGAGACAGGCCACTCTTTGATTGGTACAAGGACTTACATGATGTTGGCTTTGTGTACAGCCGTGACGTTACTCCTGTGGTTGTTCCGGGCATACTCAAAGGCAAACTCAGCAATGCGCTTGCTGGCTTCCTCTGTGATGAGCTTGATGCTCTGCACAACTCCATCAACAATCTGAAAGAGAAGAAGCCCTGCCTCACTGCAAGGGAACTGGCAACATTTTGGTACTAGACAACCTTGGAACGCAGACAATGTTATTATGGCAGGTTGCATGGCACCAGCCAGCATGGCCAGCATCACACAGGCAGTATGTCAAAGAAGTCAATGTTAACTCCAGCCTGAGGCAGGCATAATAAATAATAAGCCCTACTGTACAGTGAGTCACTAGCCAAGAGCACAGCTGTGAAGTGGGGGATTCAAAATGTAGAGGGCAGATTCCTAAGCCTGTGCCCCAAACTACACCAGGCTGAGTTCCTCCCCATATCCATGTGAATAGTCAGCCAGATCACCTAGCACCAAAACCAGCACCCACCAACTCCCCCCAGAAGGAAAACTGATCTGTCTTCGGTAGGTATCTTCAACTGAAAATATGAGTAACTGCTCTGAGTGCATAGAAAACAATCCAACTAGGAATAAAGTTCCTGAAGTGAACGTACCACATGCTCAATCCCACTGTACTCTCCTTCCGTGTTCTCTCGAATGGTGACGATATTTACATCAGTGTAAGGGGTTTTATAGCCTTCGATTGAGACACATGGTCGGACATTGGCATAAAGGTCAAATGTCTTACGCAACAACAAATTCATAGATGGGTGGCCAGCTGCTATTGGGGTCTTTAAAGGGCCTGTAAGAAAAAACAGCCAGAAAACAACAGGATACATTGTGGTCTCACAGGGGACTACTTACTAACCCACCTGGTTCCCTATAAAATGTTTTCTGCCTCCAACTTCACCCTCCTTCCCTCAGACCCATGTGAAGGAGGGAAAACGTTCTCCAGGGATCTTTCTGGGAACATGAACTGCATTTCTCATCCTGCTGGCTTCTGAGGACTAAGCCTTGCATTGGGTGCTTGATGTCAGCCTCATCATCACTCCACAAAGGTCACTTAAAAATGAAGAAAAAGCTGGGCGTGGTGGCGCATGCCTTTAATCCCAGAGCACTCCGGAGGCAGAGGCAGGCGGATCTCTGTGAGTTCAAGGCTAGCCTGGTCTACATAGTGAGTTCTAGGACAGCTGGGGCTAGAGGGAGACCCTGTCTCAAAAAGACCAAAAAAAAAAAAAAGAAGAAGAAATAAAAACGGGCTGGAGAGATGGCTCAGCAGTTAAAAGCACTGACTGTTCTTGCAGAGGACCGGGTTTGATTCCCAGCACCCACATGGCAGCTACGAACCGTCCTTAACTCCAGTTCCAGGGAAATCTGACGCCCTCTTCTGACCTCCGAGGAATTGCACAACATGGGTGCACTCACATATAAGAAGGCAATACACTCATACACATAAACTAAAAATAATAAAATTTTAAAAAGCTGATTTTAAAAATGAAGAAAAAACAATCCCAAGATTAAGAACTCTGTCTAAGCTTCTCAGCTGATAACTGGCAGAAACAAGATTCAAACTTGGATTGGAACATGGTTTTAAAGCCTATGCCTATTCAAATAATAAAAACATGAAAATTCGACAAAAGATAAACGAACTTGAAAATAAATGGCACAGTAAGTTGATATAAGCCAGAAAAACTTTAATATTTTTACTAGTTTGAAAATAAAGGTCCCAAATAAGAAATAAACCATCTTAGGCTGAGGGTATGGCTCCAAAGTAGAGTATGTACCTTGTATATATGCAAGGTCCTAAGTTCTATCCTCAGCACAGCAAACAAACAATAAAAGCAAGCATCGCGAGCAGGACGTGGTGATGCATGCCTGTAACCCCAGCAATCAGAAGGCTGAGGCATGAAGAATCCCATGTTTAAAGCTAGCCTCAGATACAAAGCAAGTTGAAGGTCAACTGGGCTACATTGTGAGACCCAGTCTCAAAACACAAAAGCATTTGAAAAAATAATAATAAAGTACCTTACTACAAGTGGATACTTTATAAAAGGAGGTCTTTACTTTTGATAGGCTGCCAGGCAGGCCTTACTTAGCTATGCATGCACTTTCAAAATGTAATGTCTGGAACAGAAATGGGCAGCAACCATCTCCTCTCCTTCAGTTGTACCTTTCAATCCCATCTTGTTCTTATCCATGGACTCTTTGGCTTCTGGAGGGATCATCCACTTTCCTCCTGGTCCTTGAATTGCAGTGACATTTCGCTCTTCCCACTGAATAGGTGCCTAGAAGCCACACCACAGCAGAGTGAACTGGACATTCAGGCTTAAGGATAGTTTATCAATCTGGATGCAACTAGTAAAAACACACACAATAGGACCAGAAAGTTTCTGGCAAGAAGGAATATTTGCTAGCGTGCCCAGAGCGATTCTCCACTTTACCCTGGCCCAGTCTTCACTTACAGCTGCCACCTGCCCACTTATGTTCTTCACAAGGACTCTTAAGGGGGTGATAATTAGATTACCATAAGAAGTAAAGACTTAAGGTTCACAGAAATGATTCATAGCACTAACATGTAGGTGAAACTTGAAAACACTCAGTGCTAAGAGCAAGAAGTCCACCAGAAAAGACCATGTAAGGGTCTACTGATATGAAGTACCCAAACAGGTAGGCAAATCTATAAAGAGAAAGCAAATGAGTGATTGCCTAGGGCTAGGAAGGGAAACAGGCAGGGTACTGAGTGAGGGAGCAGAAACAAGTGTGACTGCTATGAGCTATGGGATGTCTTTGAAGGTGACAAAATTGTTCTGAAATTAGCAGTCTATGTAGATGGCTGCACAACTCTGTGAATGCAGCAAAAACCATTGAACTAGGCTGTATTCTTTGTGTATGCATTTTCATGTGTGTAAATTGGGGACATACACATGCCACAGTGCAAGTATGGTCAGAGGACTGCCTCGGTTTTGGTCCTCACTTTCCACCTTCTTTGAGATGGGGTCTCTTGTGGTTTGCTGCTGCATACACCAGGCTAGCTGGCCCTGGAGTTTCTGGGGACTCTCCAGTCTCCACCTCCCATCTCGCTGTAAAAGTGCCAGGATTACAGACACACTACTCCATTCAGCTTTATGAGGGTTCTGAAAATCAGGTCCTCACACTTGCATAGCAAGCTCTTTATCCACTGAACCATCTCCTCAGCCCTGGATGCTTGATTTGAATAGTATGTGAACTACATCTCAATAATGCTGTCTAAAGGACAAAAATATTATATACCCTTCCAAGATACCAGCTTAAAGTATAAGCTAGTGTCCCTTTCTTTCTATCCCCATCTTTCATGTGGGAAAACATATTCAATAGTCAGCACACTGTCTAAGCATTACTAGAGACAGAAGCACAGAACAGGTGGTCCTTGTTCATAGGTGCTTACAATTACAAACTTTATCTCTTCTGCAGGAGCTTCAATTAGAAATTCATATAATTTCAGTAAATTTCATTCCTCAACTTATTGCTATTTGCATCATAACAGCTACATACTCAATCTCACACCCAGCAGCTGCAAGTAACAGCAATAAAACAGGTCACAGCTCAAACATCCTAAGTCCCCAAAACAAAAGTATCTTGAAATATCTTCTTGAATTGACAGCTGGGCTGTTAGGAGTCATAACATATTCTTGATGACAATATACATTTTTTAAAATTCTTTCAAGGAGCTGAGGAGTATAATTCAGTAATAAGAGGGCATGCTTAGCATGTGCAAGGCCAAGTTCAATCTCCAGGGCCACCAACACAACAATATAAAAAAAGGTTCTTTCAAAATCTCCTAGATTATCTTTGACGCATCTTTGCCGGAAAGTACAGTAAGGATTTATGGACCTGACGTACCGGCAGGGGTCAAAGCTCTACAAGTGCTGCAGTACTACTTCTGATTACTTTCTATATAACAGATGCCAATGTGAGAGCCTGAACTAGCTACAACAGCAGTGACAGGCAGCACTGTGCATTATCCAAGTAACAATCACTCCACTTAGGAGACTGAAGCAGGAGAATCACTGCACTCCCAAGGCCAGCCTGGGCTAGGTAGTGAGTTCCTTACTAGCCTCGGCTATAGAGAAAGACTCTGTCTCAAAAAGAGAAATAAAATAACATAAAAATTAAATTTAAAAATATTTTATTACACTTATTTGCTGTGTACATGTGCAGACCTGATCATGGATTGTGGGGTATATCCACTATGCAATGTGGACACTCAAAGATAGCTTTAGGGATTCAGTTTTTTCCTTCTATCATTTAGGATCCAGGGATCAATCTCAGGTCTTTAGTCACAAGTGCCTTTACCCACTAAGCCATCTTATCAGTCTTAATTTTTTTTTTTTAAGTGGAAAATCTGTGGAGAATAACAAAAAAAGACCCTCCCAACTAAACTTCACCCTAAGAATTCATAGAAACCACCTGGCTAAGAAACTTTTCTGTGGATTATCATTAAGTAGATTTTGAGAACACACTTACTTTGGCAGCATCAAAAATTTTCATAACCGAGGCTGAAATTTCTGGGCCAATTCCATCTCCTGGAATTAAAGTTACTGTCTGAACCTGGATATAAGAAACCATTGAGGAAAAAAGTAAGAATTGATTTGTTATTTTTCTTTTAAGCGTATCACTCACAGAGAAACTCACTTTCCCAGGATACTGAAAGACCCAAATGCTGTTAAGAAAACAAACAAACCTCCCACCAGGATCATGACTGTGGAAGCAGAAATCAATGGACAAGAAATTCCCCAACTCTGCTCTCAGAACTGAGTTCAAAGACTTGAAAAAGAACCCAAATGATGCTCTTTAGATGTAACAGAAATAAATTACCAAGTAGAATTCCTTACTGATACTTCTTTTCAAACTATAAGGTCAAAGCATTCATGTCTGAAATTCAAAGACAGCAAAATGTTTCAGCACTGTTCTCAAGCCACAACTCAGGTAGGCATCCAGTTTTCAGCCAGTGAAATCCTGGGAAGTTCCTCACATAACTTCTTCAGGTTTACAAAGCTAGAACATGTTTCAGGAACATGGGAGGTCTGTTCTGATGCTCAGAGAGAATCAGACTTCGCCTCAAAAGTGACTTCAGACTTTACCCACACACAAGCACACACACGTACACATCCCACTTTTCATAGTTCCTCTGTAAAATTGGCCCCTTAGTGTAATCTAAATGAGTAGGGGTGTGATTTGAATCAGTAATAACATGTGACCAGACCAGCAAACCCTAAGTAGGATTATACTTAGAACAATAAGTATGTTCCTGGTATGACACTGATTATCTGTTCCAAAGGCTTCAAACAAAAGTAAACCAGCATTTTGGGTTGGGAGGTAGCAGTAAAGTGCTAGCTTTGCAATCATGAAGATCTGACTCAATCCCCAGAATCCACATTTAAAAACAAAAACAAAAAACGGTTGGGTATGGTGACATATGCCTTTAAACCCAAAGGCTTAGCACACGGGAGGCAGAAGCAGGTGGGTCTTTGTAAGTTCAAGGCCAGCCTGGTCTACATAGTGAGTTCCAGGCCATCCAGGCTGCACAGTGATACCTTTTCTAATAAAGAAGCCAGCACTTCAAACATAGAATTAAAATATGTAAGAGGAAAAGGTGAGAGGATTTAAATAAGACCAGACTCTCCCTTCATTTAGGAATCACACATTATACTATTTTGGAACCTTATTCTACCTTAGCCTTTTTTAGTTCTAGTTGCTTGAGCTACATATTTTTCAAAAATTATGAACTGACTTTTTTTTTTGGAGAGTCTTCTGTAACCCCCACTGGCCTGGAACTCGCTATATAGACTGAGCTGGACTCGACCTTACAGAGATCTGCCTGTTTCTGTCTCTGGAGTGCTGGCATGTACCACAACACCCAGCACAAACTAATTTTTTTGAATCACTAATTCAACTTTTCCTGGTCCTCTCCTAATGAAACCGCCCTGACAGATCAACCAATTATTTCTCAACTTTCTATACAGCTGAATTAATTGTTTATTTTAAATTTATGTATCTTCTTTTGAAATTAATCCTTTCTATAAGGGTAATTTTTTTTTTTAACCAGAAGCTTGAGAAGAAATAGCAGAAAGCAATGATCCTCTCATCCATTTTCAGATTGTTTTGAGTTTTTCTTTTTCTTCTGTTTTGCTTTGGTGTGGAGGACTGAACTCAGAGCCTTATATGTGCTAGGCAAGCACTCTGCCACTGAGCTACATCCCCAGCCCTTTCTACTTGGCAGTTTGGACAGGGTCTACAAATGAACTAGGGCAAGCCTCATTCTGTATTCCTGGCATAAGCAGGACCAAGAGTTTCTTCCTATCTCCAACATACAATGCCGTTAGACCACCAAAGAAGCTACTTTTTTGCTCCCCTACAGAAGTAAATGGGGAGGAAATGTACTAAAGTCTCATAAACTCCTCACGACACAAAATGTTACATGGGAGTATAGGAATTAAGGAATTATGAAATCCAAGCCGGAGTCTGTAAAAAGGGGATAAAATAAAAATAAATGGGAAATTACTGACCCACACTCTTAGAATGTTCTAAAAATGCGGTATCAGCTTTTAAAGCACAGAACTCAAATGCTGAGAATTCTAAAAGCAGCAGATTCAATGAGCAACAATAGATTCGCTAACGTGGTAAAAACTGCAGAAGGAAAGTAGAAGCCTACAGGGCTCTCAGATGTCTGAGAAAGTCCTAAGTGGTGATCAATCTACTGTTTTTAGGGAAGCTCACAAAATAAAAAGGCAAAGCAGGTGTTGAAGCTTCTCAACAATTTCTCTCAACTTGCACTTCTTTTTGAAATAAACAAAAAACTTTAACTGTCTTACTGAAGTGAGATTGTGAAATAAAGTAACAGGCCCAGGGGTAACTTCTATTTTTATCACGGCTCCTTCAAGATACTGTAGCAGGCTTACATAGCCAGATGTAATAGAATTCTTTTAAATATGAAAGTGACCAAATAGATTTGTGTAGTTGCCAATAATTTTAATATACAGTAGAAGTATGGCCAATCTCCCCTAGTTTTGAATAAATGAAGGTTAAACACTATATAATAAATGTATTTGAGCATCTTTCTTGAGAAACTTCTAAAAGGAAAAAATAAGATATAATTATACTCACACCACCAGCAAAACCTCTTGTCACCTGTTTTGTGTTGTGGAATGCACCCAACAGCCGAGAGACCTGCATTAATATCAACAGAGAAATGTCATACACAGAACTAAGACACATAAACACTATAGAGACAAATCATTTCTGAAGGTTATACTACAAATTTTTCTTAGGGGAGAAGACCCGGATTCTTTTTCATATATATATATAGATATTTTATTTTATGTGTATGAGTGTTTTACCTGCATGTATATAAGTACAACCATGTCATGCAGTGTCCACAGAGGTCAAAAGAGGGTGTTAGATCCCCTGGAACTGGAGTTGTGAGAAGTTGTTAGCTGCCATGTGAGTGCTGGGACTCAAACCTGGATCTTCTGGAAAAGCAGCCAGTGCTCATCACCACTGAGCCATCTCTCCAGCACCCCCCTCCCCTTTTTTTCCTGACTTGGAAAATTTTTATTCCAGGAACACTTTTCTTGCATATTAGCTCAATGTGGCTAACTTGCTCAGATTTGAAAACTCAGAAATGAAGCACTATTCTTTTTCTTTCTTTTCCATACATTGGGGGGGGGGGGGGGGAGTTTAAAAGGCCACTGTGGGGTGAACATGAAGCACTATTCTTTTTCTTTCTTTTCCATACATTGGGGGGGGGGGCGTGTAGTTATAAGTGCACATGTGTGTGTACGCTATAGAGGTCAGAGGTTGACATCAGGTGTCTTCTACCTCTCTCCATTTTAGTCTGAGGTACAGCCGCTCACTGAACCTGGAGCTCACCAATTCAGCAAGACCAGCTGGTCGCCAAGCTCAGAGACCTTCTTGTCTCAGTCTCCTTAGTGCTGAGATCACAGACATGTGCCACCACCCTGGCTTTTTATGTGGGTGCTGGGAAGCACTTTACAGATCGAACCATCTCACGAGCTTTAGCACTGCCCTTTTTCAACGTTGAGTTTTTTAATATAAATTATTCAAAGACATTGAGGATAGGATGAAATCATACTTTTTTGCCTCAAACATTGGATTTTTCACCAATGATCAGGTCTGTTTTGTCAAAAATCTTGGCTATCAAAGGATGACACATACTCTAAGAAAATGATCATAGTTTTAGAGCCTGTGGGGTTCTTATGAAACACAGGGCACAACTGTTTTGGGTTTTTTTTTTTCCCACAACTTAAATAGGCAGAAATGGCGGCACAAAGATTTGCCTAAGATCACACAGTGACCAATCAGCAAATTAGAAACAATTTTGCCTTGCCTAGTGGAACAGACCTGTAATCCCAGCTACTCAGTAAACTGAGGCAGGAGGTTTGAGTTCAAGGAAAGGCCCGTCTGGGCTAAAAGGCAAGCTGGGATAATTTACTGAGACCCTATCTCAAAAACTAAAGAGGGTTGGGGATATAACTCTTTCAGAGCACTTGCTATACAAACCCCTAGTTCAAGCCTCAGTACTGCCAAAAGAAAAAAAAATCCAGGTCTTCTGACGTCTAGGCTAGTAGTCTTCAGTTATGTTAACTCGGTCTGTTGAGAATATTAGTAATACCTTATAATAAAACCCAATATAGTTTACTTTGCACTATTTGGTGTCAATGCCATAAAGAAAAACAATTTTAATGATTTCGTCTGGTAAAACAGGGGATGTAATTATTATCTATATTATTACTAATTTTTCTGAGACTAGGGAAAGATACAAAAAAGAAAATTCATCCAACAATCTTAGCATTCTATTACATTCATACTAGTACATTTTTGTTTGTTTGTTCGTTTTTATGGGTATGACTGTATTACCTACATGTGTGTAAGTGCACCAATGTTGTGCAATGCCTGAGGAGGTCAGAAGGCATTGGTTCCCCTGGGACTGGAGTTGCAGACGACTGCTAGCAGCCATGTGGGTGCTGGGAATTGAACCCGGGTCCTCTGTAAGAGCAGTCAGTGCTCTTAACCACTGAGCCATCTCTCCAGCCCCAACACTAGTACATTTTAAGACCACCATCATACATACATACATACATACATACATATTTTTAAAAGATTTTTTTAAAAAAAGATATTTCAAACTTTAATAGGTCAGTCCTTCAGAACTAGTACAAAGTCATATTACAGTAAAATCAAAATATAAATAATTGAACACACAGTCAAAAGGCACTCAAATTTGCCAAAAATACTAAGTTTAACTTTTTCATGTCAGATACAAGCATAAAAAGACATTTGTTATATGCTGTCTTAAATTCTTTCAAGAGTCTGACCCTCTGATGAAATTTTGTCCTCTACTAATGATGAGACAATCAGCAGCCAAAAAAATATGAACAAATTGCTGGGCGTGGTAGCACAGGCCTTTGGAGGCAGAGGCTGGTGGATCTCTGTGAGATCGAGGCCAGCCTGGTCTACAAAGATAGTTCCAGGCAGGCCAGCTGGGGCTATGGGAAGACCTTGTCCAAAAAAAAAAAAAAAAAGAATTATATTCTCTTGAGTCCTCTCTGTGCTGAAAATAAAAGACAAGGCCAGAACCAAAGCACATCCTATGCCTAAACCATTGGCCCAATCTATCTTAATCCTAAATCATGTTGCATCTCCCAGCAGGTGGACTACTGCAGGAAGGCTGTCCAACACTACTCTGTAACAAGCTCCTTAATAAAATTCCCATGAGGTCTCCTCACCCTACTCCCAGGAAAGAGGAGAGAAAGATGGTCATACAAAACAGGCTTACAATTTTTGATTTAAGATCTAATAAAAAATCCAGATTCATGGCTGGGACCTATAATCCCAGCTACTCAGGAGGCTGAGAGAGGAAGATTGAAAGCTCAAGGTGTGCCTAGGTAACTAAAATAAATAACTTAAAATAATAACTAAAAATAAGCCGGGTACGGTGGTGCACACCTGCAGAGGCAGGCAGATCCCTATGAGTTCAAGGCCAGCCTGGTTTACATAGTGAGTTCCAGGACAGCTGGGGCTACAGGGAGACCCTGTCTCAAAAAGACCAAAAAACAAAAAGAAAAATGAAAAAAAAGCGTGGGGGAGCTGGAGATTTATTCAGTGGTAAAGTACCTGCCTAGCACTAGATTCAATTCCCAGGACCTCAGAAATATAATAAAATAATTAATAAATAAATAATAAATAAATAAATAAATAAATAAATAAATGTGTTTGTTATTTTATCTCCGGGGCTTGGTACACTGCCTGCCTTCTAGTAGGTAGTCAATAACTCCCTTTGAAAAAACCGAGCCCAGTCTCACTCTGATGTATAGCTGAGGGTTCAAATGTTGCTTTCATGCCTGTAATGATTTTCCTCTAAGCAGCCAGTATTTTCTTTGTTTGCCATCTCTCCTCTTCCTAGACTAAAACAACACCTCACTGACAAAGTCGCTCAAACAGAACTTTAAATAAATTGTTTAGCACACACAGTCTTCTACTTTATAATACTTGTACAACATCGTTTTTTCTCTATAAAATCTAAAGAGGCCTGGTGTGGTGGCACACGCCTCTAATCCCAGCACTTGGGAGGCAGAGGCAGGTGGATCTCTGAGTTCAAGTCCAGCCTGGTCTATATAGCGAGCTCCAGACCAGCTGAGACTACAGGGAGACCCTGTCCAAAAAAGACTGAGAGAGAGAGAGAGAGAGAGAGAGACAGAGAGACAGAGAGACAGAGAGAGAGAGACAGAGGCAGAGAGAGGAGGGTACCTGGAGAGATGGCTCAGCATAGCAGCTAACAACCATCCATAACTCCAGTTCCAAGGATCCAACGCCCTCTTCTGGCTTCCTCAGGCACTGCACACATGTGGTGCACTTACATACATGCAGGCAAAGCACACACATAAAATAAAAAAGTATATATATTTTAAACCTAAAGCAGGCTTTCAGGTGAGAAAACAGGCCCTGCTCCAAGGGCCTAGACTGGCTTCCTGAACTTGATTTCAGGCCCTGGACTGAAATCCTGAACTTGATTTCAGGCCCTCAGTCTTAAGCCATGAGGACTCATTTCCTTTCATAATGGAATACCTTCATATTCCAACTTAAAAAAAAGAGATACTGTGTGGGAAGTAGGGCAGGATTCACTTAATAAGGGCTTGTGGATGGGAAATTGGATCATCACAGATGTTGGGGCCTGAAAAGCCTTTAGAAACCTTCTATTTTCTCTATAGGAAAATCTTTGAGCTGCAATGTCTCTCCTTTTAAAATTTTTTTTTAAAAAAACTAAATAAATAAGCCCTTAAATGGAAGCTGGGTGTGGTAGACCAGGCCTATAAACCCAGAACTTGGGAGATGGAAGCAGGAAGATCAGTAGTTCAAGGTCAGTCTTAGCTATAGCCTCACCTACATACAGAGCTTGAGGCCAGCCTGGACTACATGAGACTCTGTCTCAAACAAAACCCCTGAAATGGAAACCTGGTAAAGGGACTGCTCTGACAGAAACCCAAATTCCACTCAACACCCCATCTTAGGTCAGCCTCAGGGGCCCCTTCTGAGGTGAGGCTCTGATCCCTAGAGAAAGAAACTGACCCAAAAGCTGGGCCACTGTGTTAAAGAACATGTAGGGAGTCATGTCCCAGAAGACCATCTTCTGACTCCACAGCCAATACTTTCTGAACTCTTACTCTAAATTTCCCAGTACACTCCTCACCAGTGTCACTTTAGTTCCATCTTTAAAGGCAGAATGTACCTTCCAGTGATGGATCAGTAGTGAGTGTAAACCCTGACATTAAGTGCTTGGTTTAACAGTGACACACAAGTTACTATAACTTTTAAAGCACATGTAACCTAAGAGTTACCTTCCCAAGCAAATGTGGGTCTGAAATCAGTGACAAAGTAAACTCTAGTTACTGAGCAAAAGTCCAGTTACAGACGCCCAAGAACCACTGATCACTTAACAACTGCCAAGATAAAATATACTTATAACCAAGAAAGCTTTAGATTTGCCTGTCCATCCACATAAACCAGGTGCTTTCATGTACAAACAACACTGCGACACAAATACATATATTTTACAGGTGGACTCACAGAGGTTAAGTAATTTGCTCTGGGTCACACAGTGGGTCAATCACACTGCCAGGACTTAAAACCTACAAACCCTAAACTCAAGTGTAGAGATCTTATCAGTAAATAATAGTGCATCTCTGAACCTCTCTTTAAACTTAAAAAAAGGGGAAAGTAATAACAAATCTATTAGAAAAATGTACATTGCCCTATGATAGATTTCTAGAGATCAGCCACTAATTACAACAGAAGACCCAAGGCCTAAACCAACACCATACCTATAATTTGCTATGTGACCTTGGTCACAGGCCAGGCAGAATGGAACTTAAAGTCAAAATCTGGGTCCCTCTCCCAGCTGACACTGACCTCCTGGATGACCTTGAGCACGTTTGTCTTTAGGGATAGGTCAGCTCCTCGGGGAAACCAAGGAATTGCATATATAACCTGAAATGTTTTCCTGCTCTGCACCTGAGCCTTCAAGGAAAACTAGAGAGCTCTTCCCACCAATGAAAGGTGAACGGACCGGCCTGCCGGTCTCCCTCTCTGAGCGTTCCTAATGCAATTTCAAGTTGCAAGATGCCCTGTGACCTCTGAAAGGGAAATAGCTACCACAACACCAGCCGTCAGACTAGGAAGGGTTCCAAGAGGCAGAAAATTCCGGCAGGCAGGATCGCCCCGGGATTCCCTGACCTGGGACAACCTCTCACACCCGCGGTTAAGCAGGAGGCCCGGGACCGCAGCAACAGGGCCAAAGCCTCGCCAGTGGCCTGGGACCTGGGCGGCGGCTCCGTGACTTTCCCGGGCTCGGCGCTAGGCCTGTACCGCAGCCCTGGCGGTGGCAGGAGTGGACACCCGAGCAGCGCGGGCAGCCTTGACCTTGACGTCTCCATCCCGGCGCAGATCTGTCCACACTCCGGTGCCCGGCTTGCGGCGCGGGCGGCCCGGGCTCTCCTAAGCAATCCCCGAGGCCGTGCGCCGCCGCCTCCGCCGCCCTGGCACGCGGCCTGCCCTCCCCGCCCGCCCGCGCACGCTGGCCTGCCTGCGCTCACCTTGGAGATCCACGCGGACCCGGCCATTGCGTCCGGTCCTCTCACCGCAGCAATAGCGGCAGCAGCAAGGCGCGTGCGCGCAGCCGGCGTCCCCCGAAGCCCACCCCTGAGGCCCCGCCCACAGCTCCGCCTGCCGCCGCTGGCCGCTAGCTGACCAATCACCGGCCTTGTTTGCTATGACGTGACGAGCCGCGGCAGAAGTACAGCTCGGAAGGGGTTTGCGAGGTTTGTCCCGGAAGCCTCCTCCCGCTTCATTCATTGACTAGATAAAGCGTCTGTTTCCCACCTGCTAGTGGCCAACTGCTCTTTTGTATTTGGGGAATAATCCTCTCTCGAGATTTAACAATTCCATGGACTGCGACAGATAATGTACTTATTTCCCAAGGGTTGAATTGTTTTTTGTTTTGTTATTTGGAGATGGAGTCTCTTGGAACCTCAAACTCACTATGTAGCTGAGGCTGAGTTTGAACTCATCTTCCTTCCTACACCTCCCAAGTACTAGGACTACAGGCATGTGCCAGCTAGCTGCAAATGGTCCAGGGGTTAGGTGTTCCCACTATATCAGAAACAAGCACCAGGACATTAACCTACACTTGTACACCAACAAAGGTCTGCATCCTCAAAGACTTGACGTGGTCTTACACTTGACTTACACTGTGGTTTTGACACCCCTCTACTTCTGTGGAGATCCTGGGAAGAAATACTCAAAAAGGAAGATTCTGCCCACCATGATCTGAGGCAGAAAGATCATCATCTTATATCATGACTGTACTACTCACCTTATAAATACTGATAAAAAATTTCTTTAAAATCCATAATACGGGCGTGGTGGTGCACGCCTGTAGTCCCAGCACTTGGGAGGCAGAGGCAGGCGGATCTCTGTGAGTTCAAGGCCAGCCTGGTCTTCATAGTGAGTTCCAGGACAGCTGGGGCTACAGGGAGACCTTTCTTCAAAAAAAAAAAAAAAAAAAAAAAAATCCCCCACATGGAGTGCCACTCATTCTAAGCTCTCTTTGGAGTGCTTCATTTACCTACTAGACTATACCCCTCCATCTCCTCCCACCCCACCATCCCCTACATCCTGGATTGGGAAAATGAACTCCAATCTCTCTTCCGAGTTTTCTGCTTAGCTTTAATTACTATTTTGCTAAATAAACTTCTAGTTAAACTAAGTTTCTTGACTAAATTTGTTCCTTCAAGAAGAAAAGAACTGAGACACCACAACACATACACACACCATCTACCACAGTAACAATTCCGTGAAATTCTTATAGTAACAGAACAAAGAAAGTCATAGGACACTTTTCAAACACATTGGTGGGAACATCAGGTAGGTAGGCTATAGCAAAACCAGGAAATATCTCTTATAGGCCTCAGATGTTACCTGATGACATTCTTAGCCTTAGGGTTAGTGAAAGGGAAGAGTCAGTACATTCCAAAAGAATCCTAGTAGTCACAAGGATGTTAGGTCACTCATAGAGGTGGGTAATAAATGGCTATTAGGGACTACAATTGCCCAGGATGATTTGGGTCTGGACCTGCAATATTCCAGCTCTCCACATTCAGTCAATCGGCCTTGTAGAATGTTTAACATAGCTTCCCCTCCCACCTGGGAATTTAAGTTCACAACCATCACCACAATCTAGTTTTTAATATATAAAATTGTTCCTTGGGTCTATTTACAGTCAGTTCCTGTTCCTCACCTCAGTCCCTAGCAACTACTGTTCCATATTTTTTTCCACAATTATTTTGTGAGGGGGGAGGGAAACATGTATCTGCCACAGTGTGCATGTGGAATCCAGAGGACAACTTTCAAGAGTCAGCTCTCTCTTTCTACAATTTAGGCTCTGGGGATCAAGCTCAGGTTATTAGGTTTGGTGGCAAGCGTCTTTACTCACTGAGCCATCTCTCTTGCCCCTTGATCCATCTTTTTACAGCTCTACAAACAATTTTTGGCAGTGCTGGAGAAACTAGGACCTGGCATAAGCTAGGCAAGAGTGCTACCAATGAGCTATATCGCCAACCCTCTTTATTTTCACTTTTTATTTTTGAGACAGAGTCTCACTAAGTTGCCCGCAGTGGCCTTGATCTCATGCTATAGTCTAGGCAGGCCTTGAGCTTTCTATCTTTCTGCCTCAGCCCTCAGAGTATCTAAAATTACAGGCCTAAGCCACTAGGCTCAGCTTCTACAAATATTTTTGAGTACCAATTATATACCAGGCACCTACCCAATGCTAGAATTTCTAAGTCCAGCCAGCCAAACAGGCATCAATTAAGTCTCACACAAGTATGTAATGCAACTATAAGTGTCAAGAAGCAATAGTGAAAGTGTTGCTAGTGATGACGTTTGGGGAGGTCTCAGAGATAGATCACACCGAAACCTCAACCCAGGGCTTCCAGTTTCTAGTCATCCTGACAGCAAAATCTCAGGGAGCTAAAGTAAGGAATTAGCCTGGCAGGCCCATTCTGAAGTGTTCTCTCACAGCCGCCCCCACTGTCAACCCCATGCCTGACCATCTTGTGCTTATTATATCAGCCTCTCTAGCCCTTCTTGTCCTCTCTCCCAGCCTTGTGTACACTGTACAGGGGCACCAGAAGGTATGGGCGCCAGAAGGTAACTTCAGGTGTTGCTCCTCAGGCACTGTCTACAACTTTTTTTTAGAGAGAGTCTCTCACAGGCCTGGAATTCATCAAGTAGCCTAGGTTGGCAGGCCAGCAAGTCCCAGGGATCTGCCTGTCTCTACCTTCTCAGCACTGGGATTACAAGTATGGACCACCACACCCAGCATTTTTTTTCCCAACATAGGTCCTGGGGATCAAACTCAGGTCCGCATGCTAGCAAAGCAAGCACTTTGCTGACCGAGCTATCTCCTCAGCGCCCCTCCCACCAGCCATCTCCTTTAGGAACAGCTCTGACTGGAGCTCACCCGTGCTTTTAAAGGACGACTCTCCCTTACTTTCTCTTACCATCTGTGCATTTTTTCAACCGACTTCTCATCGCTCTCTCCAACTTCAAAGAGCCGAGTCGCCAGCCAAGTAGGAGTGCTGGCTGTCCCCCAGGTGTCTCCCGTGTGCCACATTGATCTCTTGACATTGCTATCACCTCTGCCCTCATGCCCTTCTGCCCCATTCTTGCCTGCTGGAGTTCCAGCCACTTGTCAAAACTCAGCAAAGATGTTGGTTCCTTTGGGAAGCCCCCAGGACCTACTGGGAGTCCCTGACACATGACTCCCATGAATCCTGAGAAACATGACATTGTTTCCTGCTGTGCCATCAAGCCCAAAGTCTATCTCTTGTGTACTTTGCTTCTGGAGTCAGAGACTAAAGAACCAAGAAGCTTGCTGCTAAGCCAGGAGTGGTAGCACATGCCATTAGTCCCAGCACTCAGGAGGTAGAAGCAGGTTAATCTCTATAAGATCAAGGGCAACCTGATCTATGAAGTAAGTTCCAGGCCAGCTGGGAAAGAAAAAAAAAAAAAAAAGATACTTGCTGCTCAATGATTAAAAATAAATATGTCTCGAGCCAGGCATGGTGGCGAATGACTTTAATCCCAGCACTCGGGAGGCAGAGGCAGGCGGATCTCTGTGAGTTCAAGGCCGGCCTGGTCTACATAGCGAGTTCCAGGACAGCTGGGGCTTACAGGGAAACCCTGTCTCAAAAAAAAGACCCAAAAAAAAAGGGGGGGCTACCTCATGCCTATAATTCTAGCACTCAGAATGCCGAGGTAAAGGGATTGCTGCAAATCCCTGGAAAGCCTGGACCTCGGTGGGACCTTGTCTCCAAAAAGCAAAAAAATTGTCAGAAACTCTTAAGTTTTGGGAAATTTGGACACTGCTCAGTCTGTAAAGGGCTTGCTCTGTGAGCTGAGGATCTGAGTTCAAATCTTCAGCACATGAAAAATCTGAACCTAGTAGTATGCCCCTATAACCCCAGCATGAGGGTGGCAGAGGATGATCCCAAAGTTCATTGGCCACATAGCCTAGTTTAACTGATGAGCCCCAAATTCAGTGAGGGACCCTGTCTCAAAAACTAAAGTGGAGAATGATCCAGGACATTTGACACCAGCCTCTGGTCTCCATGTGGGTTCCAGGAATTGAATACAGGTCACTAGGCTTGCCTGGCAAATGCTATACCCACTGAGCCATCTCACTGACCTTTTTACTATTTAGAAAAGGCATACAAATTCAACAGAATTTTCCTAGTTTATTTTAATATTTTCATAAAAGTATGATTGGTAGTTGGTATGGTGCCTTATGCTTGTAATCTCAGTATTCAGGAAGCTGAGGCAGAAGGACAATCATGAGTCTGAGGCTAGCCTGGACTACAAAATAAAATTCTTGTCTCAAAAAAATCTTTTAATAAAAATATTGTCAGAAGGGGGAGGGGCTAGAGAAGTGGCTCAGCAGTTAAGAGTACTGACTGCTCTTCCAGAAGACCTGGATTTGATTCCCAGCACCCACATGGTGGCTAACAACTGTTCAGTAACTCCAGTTCCAGGGGATCCAATGCCCTTTTCTGGCCTCTGAGGGCATTGCCCAACATAAGTGCACTTACATACATGCAGGCAATACACTCATACAGATAAAATAAAATTAATAAATAAAATATTTTAAAAATATTATCATCAAAGTGTGTATTTCTATGTCAGTTTTAGGGGGAAATTCAACAAATGGGAAGCAAGATATTAGGAATTCAGTAGATAAATGGACAGAGGTTCTGAACAACCAATTCACAGTTAAAGACACAATAAAACTTAAAACACGTTTAATCTTAATTGTAAGCAAGTACATATATATCAAGAAAATAATGGAAACTGTTTTACCCTTTCTGTTAGAAGGTAAACTAAAATTCTAAAGTCAGATAGTACTCTGATTTATGGTGAAAGTGCTACACTCAAAGTTTTTGGTTGACCTTAAAAAAATGCCACAAATATTTTTGGAAAACAGTTTAGCAATGTGTCTCAAGAGTCAATATGTATTCTTACTCTTTCGCCAAGTAGATCCATTCCTGAGAGTTAATCTCTTGCAAAACTTTAGAAAGAAACCATCAGCACAAAAATATTCATTTTATAAAGAAGTGACTTTATTTTTGAATTTTTTTCACACTGAGTGTATTAGTTACTTGTCTCTTGTAACAAAACACCTGA